GTACATGTGCTCCTATGCCTCAGCATTTCTGTATCCCTTGGGTAAATTCCTAGCAGTGCTCTTGCTGGGTCCTAGGGGAGTTCTATTGTTAGTTTCCTGAGGAACCTCCACACTGTTTTCCAGAGGGGCTGTACCAGTTTACATTCCCACCAACAGTGTCAAAACATAAATATCTCAGCCAGTGAACTCTGAAATGCTACAGAAACATTAAAGTTCTCTTTATTGTTTTTAAATCTTTATAAAAAGCAGTCATCATTTCTGAATCTTCTTCTACTTTGAAGTCCTATCAACAATTACTTCCTTCTCATCTCAAAAATGGAAATGCTAAAAATACAAATTGAGTTCCAAGTTTGTCTCCTTAAACTCAATGACATTATCGTAGAGTTTAATGGATATGAACCAAGGCCGCTGATTCTAACGTGATGGAAATTTAGAATTTCTTCTTTTTTTTTTTTCTCTCCCCATAGCAAGGGTTTAAAGGATTCCAGGTTGCTCTGGACCATCATAATGACCATAAGACGTTTATCTATAATAATAGTGAATTCACCCTTACTCATGGTTCTGTGGTCATCGCGGCCATTACCAGCTGCACTAACACCAGTAACCCATCAGTGATGTTGGGGGCAGGTGAGTGCATTTGAATCTCGCCGCGTGGTCATGTGGACGTGTGTGTGGATATCTTTCAAGACACAACCCAGGGGCTTAACTGAGTTCTACATGTCCAAACGTTGTCTTTTCCAGAGACAGAGATTTATTAGCCTGAAAGTGTTTACATAGTAACTAGCGTCCAAAGCCAACTATTTAAAGTAGAATATGTAATGCATACCAGTCTTTAGAATTAACACAAAAAATAAGTAGAAGAAAGAAAAAAAAATTCTGGTAAAGTGTAGAATCTTGTGTTAGGCTCTAGAAGGAAAAAAAAACAAAACCTGTTTTCATATCAATATCACAGACCTCTCTGTAAAACCACTATTGGGCCTTTCTGTACAATGGACTTCCGTCCATCTTAGAAGTGCTGTCAGTGCATCTGACTCAGGGCACAGCGCGCTGGTTGATAAAACTTCCTGGTCTGTTATGCAATTCTGGTTAAGCGGTTAATATTTACATACAGAGTTTAATTAATAGAAGGCTCTTTAGTTTCCAAAAATTTTCTTTATCATTCCCAAGAGGTCCTGTTATGCCCAAAGACCAAAGATCATCACAGAGTTCTTTCTTTACAAAGTGCACTAGTTCATAAGGAGGACCTTCCTTGTCCAAGGACTCATCTGTTGACACCTAAGCGTTTTGTGTCTTTTCACCCCCACTCCTCATTTCTTTCCCGATGCTGTGATATGCTCCTATGAGGGCATCCCATGCCCCCGTAATGGTCTCTGTATTTGCCAAAATTCCAGGGCCTAGACCTCTTCATTTTTTGCTTTAAGACAAATATCTGAGGACTAGATTTTTACTTTAGACTGTATTCCTCACCAACCAGTACACAATTCTTATCCCTTTAAAAAGGGGCCCTCCAATTATAATTTTCATCCAAATAAAACGTAACTAGAAAGGTTGCTTTCCCTCCAAAAGTTAAAAACTTATCCTGTGATATATTCCTAAACATTTTTAGGTTTACCTCTTTTAAAAAAAAAAAAAGCCCATCTCTTTCTCCGTTTCCATGACTAATTTTTAATTTACTGCATACGTGTAAATGACTTTGAGCCAGTGAGCTTTTGATTTCTGCTAGGCAGAAATAGAAAGCACCATGAATGAGTCTTGGTCACGCGATGGCAGGAAATGCAGACGGAAGGACCAGTCTCCTTCCTGAACTTCTCCCTGGCACCTCGAGTAGGCGGCCACCCCACCCGGTGTCGGTGTTCACCATTTCACAGGATTGTTAGCAAAGAAAGCTGTGAACGCCGGCCTGTCCGTGAAGCCTTACATCAAAACTAGCCTGTCTCCTGGAAGCGGCGTGGTCACCTACTACCTGCGAGAGAGTGGCGTCATGCCTTATCTGTCACAGCTTGGGTGAGCAAGAATTTTCTTTTACACTTTGCTTTTGTTGTGTTTTATTCCACACATATCTTACTGTGTCGCTTTGTAACACACGTCAGCCTATCTGATGGTATCTATTTTATTATATGTATATTATATATTTTGTCATATGGTGAGTAGACTTCAACCCATAAATTCCAACAGAGAAGGGCCCTCCCGTAGACAGTTGTGCTGGTTGTTCATCCTACAAGGGTGCCCATAAGGGCAAAGCAGGGCTGAAATGAAGCCTGTGCTTTGGTATGGGGCTGCACCCTTCTGGAGGAGGGGGTGCCATTTCTCAGTTGACAGAGGTATGCTGTGGGCTACCATTGGCTCCGCAACTGAGAGTCTGCCCTTCGGTATGAAAATAATTACTTACTATGATGAAAAATGTTTTCATCCCTTGGCGTAAACTAGTCATTTGTTACCAAATACAATTCCTCCGGTTTGCCCACGATTCCTAATTTGGATGAGAAGGATTTTATTCATGTGTCAAAGTCCTTGGGATTGTACAAAGTAGTGAATACAGAAATTAAATGGCATTTAATTTCAACTTTTAAAAACTCTAGATCATTCTCAGAAGGTTCGTGGTTGTGAGCCCCACGTCGGGCTCTGTGCTGACAGCTCAGAACCTGGAGCCTGCTTCTCTGTGTCTCCCTCTTTCTGTCCCTCCCCCACTCGTGCTCACTCTCGTGTACTCTCTCTCTCTCAAAATCATTTTTAAAAAAATTTTTAAGTCCAGGTCATTCAGTTGGACTCCTTTTTACATTTTACTCAAAGAATTAATTTAGTTTTAGTTTTATTTATTTATTTTGAGAGAGAGAGAGAGAGAGAAAAAGGGGAGGGGCAGAGAGAGAACAAGAGAAAGAATCCTAAGGAGGCTCTGCGCCATCAGCACACAGTCCGATGTGGAGCCCGATGCCATGAACTGTGCAATCATGACCTGAGCTGAACTTAAAGAGTCAAATGCTCAACCAGCTGAGCCACTCAGGCGCCCCTCAGGAAAGACTTTAATTCAGTGCTCTAGAACGGATGAATTGTATATTAAAATGCCCTACCTGGCTGGCTCAGTCACATGTGACTCTTGATCTTGGGGTTATGTTCGAGCCCCATGTTGGGAGTCATACTGTACTTAAAATTTAAAGGAAAAAAAAAGCCTTTAAAATCCTGCTGAGAATGAAAGCTTTATAGAAAGAGTACTAAACGTGTTCCCTTTAAATCAGTGGTCTTTAGACCCGTCACCGGCTGGGGCTTGCGGAGACTCACACCGCACCTGTGCTTCTCTCCCGACCCCTAGGTTTGATGTGGTGGGTTACGGGTGCATGACCTGCATTGGCAACAGTGGACCCTTACCCGAGCCTGTGGTGGAAGCCATCACGGAGGTAACTACAGAGGAGCCCGCGGGGCTTTGAGCTGCTGTCTCTTTTCATAAGATGTGCGACCAAAATGCTGGTCGTCACAGGAAGGTCCGGGGAAGCAGGGGATGCCATTAGATGTGTGGGCTTCGGGGTCAGGCTAAGCTTCTAGCTGTCTACCTTGGGCGGCAGGTTTCCCGACTGTAAACTGGAGGTGATAACAGCACATACTGTGAGCGCGGAGGTGATCACGGACATACCAGCCTTTGAATGGTGCTGGCACACAAGTGCTCCGTCAGTGCTGGCATTGACTGCACGCAGCTCCAGAACTGTTCGTTCCTGGTCGTCTGAAAACTGGCTCAGAGCCAGACAGAGCTCCACACAAACAAATCAAAACTAAGTTGCAGCAGTTTGACCTTTGTTCCCTAAATTCTGTAGCTTTGAAAAACACTATTTGGTTTGCTTTCATGAATTACAGAATCAACACGTGGGTCAATGTGGCTTCCCTGAGCTTTCAGCTGTTAGACTTTCCCTCCTGTTCTCAGGCCCCAGGTGGCAAAGTAACCCAGATGCTGCCTTCTGACCCACCTGGGATTTTCTCATGCCCAGAAACCATGCCTCTCTGTGTCCTTTGACCCAGAGGCGTCTCCCCAGGGACACCCATGCGTGCTTTTTCCCTGTAGCCAGAGGACCAGGTGAAAGGGGGATTTAAAGAGCCTCCTCCGGTGATGGGCAACTTTAGCAGGTGGTCTGAGACAAAAAGCCCAGGCAATCTCTTCTCTGTGTGACCTGAGTTTTCTCTTGCCGGACACAGGGAAACCTTGTAGCAGTTGGAGTACTCTCTGGGAACAGGAATTTTGAAGGTCGAGTCCACCCCAATACCCGGGCCAACTACTTAGCCTCTCCACCCTTAGTGATAGCATATGCAATTGCCGGGACCATCCGGATCAACTTTGAGAAAGAGCCACTGGGTAAGGTTTCGTTTGTGTGGTTCTTACACTCTTTGTTTTTTTTGTTTTGTTTTGTTTTGTTTTTTTCCCCCAATGAATTTGAAAATATTATTAGAGGAAAGTAACTGCTTTCATTAATAAATAATGAAGCAGAGAACTAACAAAGATGAGAAGGAGTCTTTTCTTTATTGCCTCACACATAGCAGAGACATACCTGAAGTAGACAAGAATTCGCTGAACGACAGAGATAACAAAAGGAAAGAAATGAGGAGGGCCTGGTGGCTCAGTCAGTTAAGCAGCAGACTTGACTTTGGCTCAGGTCAAGCTCTCACGTTCATGAGTTCCACACAGGCTCCGTGCTGACACTGCAGAGCCTGCTTAGGATTCTCTCTCTGCCCCTCTTCTGCTCATTCTCTCTCTCTCTCTCTCTCCCTGCAAAATAAATAAATAAAACTTAAAAAAAACAAAAGGAAGGGCTCTTGGCTGGTCCGGTTAAGCATCCACCTTGGGCTCAGGTCATAATCTCATGGTTCATGGATGGGTTCGAGCCCCTGCATCAGGCTCTGTGCTGACAGCTCGGAGCCTGGAGCCTGCTTCAGATTCTGTGTCTCTCTTTCTCTGCCCCTCCACTGTTTGCACTCTGTCTCTCAAAAATATAAATAAACATTAAAAATAGTTTAAAAAAAGAAAAAATAAATAAAACAATAAAAAGGTTTTAAAAAGGAAAGAGATATGAAAAGGCATAGAGAGCATGCCCTTCTGGCTTTTTCCCTGGTTCTTCTCTTTCTAGCTCCTGCTTTTATCTAGTGATCGGCATTGCTTTAACATATCCTCCATAGAAACACATCCCAGATAATTCAACTTCCCCAGATTCAGAGAAATGATGCTGTGTCTCCTTTCTTCTGATGGTCGTCCTGTGTCTTAATCTATTCTGGGTAGATTAAGTAATATAAAAACAGTGCCCCTTAAATTCACTTTTAGGAAATCAAAACTAGAGCTACAGTTGATCCTCATATGTGGATTCGATATTGCAAATTTGCTTATTCACCAAAATGTATTTTAACCCCCAAATCAATACTCACCTTGCCTCCAAGGTCATTTGCAGACATGCCCCTCTGGGGGCGGCAGCTTTGAGTCACTCCACGGCGGCGCGTCCCCAGCTGCAGCCAAACGAGGCGAGGCGGGGTTTCAGCTCTCCTGCTATCACCAAGTATCCTGTTCGTGCTCTGTGTGGCACCATGTTTTCCCATAGTTCTGTGGTTTTGGTGATTTCACTTTTTAAAATAGCCCCGAGCATAGTGCTGATGTGTGCTGTCTCATATACGCAAGCCCAAGCCCGGGAAGGCTGGAGTGTGCCTCTTGGGAGGGAGACTGACTTCAGGCTGAAGCTTCAGTATTAACACAACACAAGATATATTAGATAGGGTGTCCTTAAGCAGAAGCATGCATAAAGCAAGATTATGTATTGATCGGTTGCCAAAAAATGTTAGTCTAGAGGCCCTCAGGGGCCTAACCCACATCCCCTGGGGGCAGCAACTGAGTCTTCACTACTTAGTGTTTGCATGGACTTTATATTTCTCCCATGGAGAATGGGATCTGACTTTATGTGGTCCTGAAAATGAGGTATTAAATGTGTTTTTTCTCTAATTAATAAATAAACTTTTTTCCCCCAGGGGTAAATGCAAAGGGACAACAAGTGTTTCTGAAAGACATCTGGCCAACCAGAGACGAGATCCAGGTGGTGGAGCGTCAGTACGTAATCCCTGGGATGTTTAAGGAGGTCTACCAGAAAATAGAGGTGAGGTCCCCACCCACCCTGCCCCCATGCGTCTGCGGGAAAGCTGTTTCTTTGTGGCATCTCTGCAGATCTTGAGGCTGATGAGGGTGGAAACTGTAGAGGGTGACACTTCTGAAGATAAGCGAAGGAGTGATTCTCAGTCATTTCTCCTGGGACTCCCATTTTTACAAACCCCACGCTCCCAAACGTTCCCAGATTTGCACAAGGCCCCACATTTGGCATCAAACTAAGGCAGAAAGGCCGTAGCTTGTGTGTGATTCCTGGACAGCTGGCCCTCACCCCCACCTTCCTTAGACACCTGGGTATATGTCAACTGTGGTTGAGGGTCCGTGATGTCTACTAGATTGTGTCACTGAGGTAGAGGTGGAATGCACCTCTTGGAATTATTTGGATGCTTAAAAAACTTTCAAAGCCACTCAGTAAAAAGCCCCCAAACTACCAAACTACTGAAATAAATAAAACTTGCTGTGTATTTTACAAACAGAGAAAATGCTTGGGGTTCAGGATCATTTTTGGAGGCCCATGGATGTTCTTCTGTGTTCAGGTTTGAAATAAGACCCAGACGTCTGGGAAAAAGGGTCAAATGGGGGCCATATTCACGCACCATGCCCTCCCACAAGTTGCCCATTGGGAAGTGGTTATGAGCAAGTTTGTTGGGCATTGGGTTGAATGCATTTCCCCAAAGCCTGAGGTAATGACCATGTGGAGACCATTCAAGCTGATTTTAATGCCTAGCAGCTGTCATTCACTATCCAGTGTCCGTGTGACCTGGATGTCCACTTCCCCAAATCTTCAGAGAGTAAATAACTTCCCCATTGGTACAACCTGGATTATTGCTTCATAAATTACATTATGTATAGGGATTAGTTATCTGTTGCTGCCCAACAAATTATTCCAAAACTTAGTGGGTTAAAACAGCATTTATTATCTTACAGTTTCTGTGGATCAGAAATCTAAGTGTGGCTTAGCTGGATGCCTCTGCCTTCACAAGGCTCCAGCCAAGGTGTCATCTGGAGCTGCAGCTCATCTGAAGGCTCTGCTGGGGAACGATCCCCTTCCAAGGCCTCTCACGTGGTTATAGGAGGCTAAGGTGCCTCATAGGGTGTTGGGCTGAGGGCCTCAGTTCCCTGCCGACAGTTAGCTGGAGGGCACCCTCCTTGCCTTGCTAGTGAGTCTCTTCACAGCTCACAGTGCGGTACTGGCTTCCATCAGAGCAAGCAAGAGAGAGACAGAAGGCAGAGTCTCTTTTTTTTTTTTTTAATTTATTTTTTTTCTTAAATAGTTTATTGTCAAGTTAGTTTCCACATAATACCCAGTGCTTAGCCCCACAAGTGCCCTCCTCAATGCCCATCAACCCCTTCCCCTCTCCCCCATAATCATCAGTCCTCCGTTTGTTCTCAGCAATCAAGAGTCTCTCACGGTTTGCCTCTCTCCCTTTCCCCCACCATTTCTCCCCTTCTTCTCCCCCATGGTCCTCCGTTAAGTTCCTCCCAATCCTCCTATATGTGCAAACATATGATGTTTGTCCTTCTCTGCCTGACTTATTTCGCTCAGCATAACACCCTTAAGGTCCATCCATGTTGCTACACATGGCCAGATTTCATTGTTTCTCATTGCCATGTAGTATTCCATGGTATAGATAAACCACATCTTCTTGATCCATTCATCTGTTGATGGACACTTAGGCTCTTTCCATGTTTTAGCTATTGTGGAGAGTGCTGCTATGAACATTGGGGTACATGTGCTCCTATGCCTCAGCATTTCTGTATCCCTTGGGTAAATTCCTAGCAGTGCTATTGCTGGGTCCTAGGGGAGTTCTATTGTTAGTTTCCTGAGGAACCTCCACACTGTTTTCCAGAGGGGCTGTACCAGTTTACATTCCCACCAACAGTGTAGGAGGGTGCCCGTTTCTCCGCATCCTCGCCAGCATCAAGAGTTCTCTGATTTGCTCATTGTAGCCACTCTGACTGGCGTGAGGTGGTATCTCAGTGTGGTTTTGATTTGTATTTCCCTGATGAGGAGGGATGCTGAGCATCGTTTCCTGTGTCTGTTGGCCATCTGGATGTCCTCTTTGGAGAAGTGTCTGCTCATATCTTCTGCCCATTTCTTCACTGGGTTGTTTGTTTTTCAGGTGTGGAGTCTGGTGAGTTCCTTATAGATTTTGGACATTAACCCTTTATCTGATATGTCATTTGCAACTATCTTTTCCCATTCCGTTGGTTACCTACTAGTTTTGTGGATTGTTTCCTTTGCCGTGCAGTATTTTACACATTTTTTGCTTACATGTTAACTTTTCCTTAGAATGGAATGGAATTTGATTTTTTTTTTTTTTTTTTTTTTTTTTTTTTAAGACTGTGAATGAGAGCTGGAATGCCTTAGCAGCCCCCTCGGATAAGCTGTATTGCTGGAATCCCAAATCGACCTACATTAAGTCACCACCGTTCTTTGAAAATCTGGTATGGCTTTTTTTTTTTTTTAATTTTTGACACAATCAGTTTTCCAAAAGGTTTCTTTCCTTATAAAGTCTACTTTATTACCCTGTACACTTGCTTTGTCCATTACGACGTGATGATTGGAACCTGTACAAAGCCGAAGAGATGATGCTGGGAAGTCTTGAGAAGCTGGGATATTTGGCCCTAGTGGGCCTGTGGCTTCGTGCCCAGGCTTGTGTGTGGCTGTTAGAGACACCGTGAGGGTCCAGTACCCCCTGGATGTAGACTCGGAAAAGCCTGGGGGACTACTGACTGTCCCAGGAAGACCTCCCTAGGCCTGCATTATTTAAACCTCATACTCAGAAATCAAGGGAACTCTTCCCTGCCAGGGATGATCCAGGAGCCCCTGACCCCCTGGGTGGGGAGAGTGGGGAGGAGAAGTCAGGATTCAAGTGTCCTCAGCATCTGAGCTCCGTGGATGGGATTCAAGTGTCCTCAGCATCTGAGCTCCGTGGATGTGGACACAGAGAATGCCATCTGTGGCGGCATCCCTGTGGCTTCTGAGGGAATAGAGCCTAACTTTGTCCTCCCTCAAGGGTAGGATGTGAACGTTCTGAGTAAATTCACCTTACTTTTCTAAACACCCCTGATAAAACCAAAACAACAGTAGAATTTTCTGTGCATCTGTGTAGGGCTTCACTTCAGTTCAAGTCCACAGACCACTGTTGTGACTATTGAGACTCCCCTGGTGACTTGCTGGAGCAAACCTGGGCCAACACTGACTCGCTGTATTCTTTCTAGACTTTAGATATCCAGCCGCCTAAGTCTATAGTGGATGCGTACGTGCTGTTAAATTTGGGAGATTCGGTAACAACTGACCACATCTCTCCAGCTGGAAACATTGCAAGAAACAGCCCTGCTGCCCGTTACTTAACTAACAGAGGGTAAGTGTGAGTGAGGGAAAGAAAGACTAAAAAAAAAAAAGCAAAACTGGAGTGAATGAGGCCAGTATTTCTTTTTTTGCTTCAGACTCTGGTTTTTCACTGAACCCTGAGGCTTGAAAAACAGTCAGCCTTTCTGTTTGCTGCTTCCAAGCTTCCTTGGGAGATGCCATCAGTTAGCAAACCCCAGCAAGGGAGGGGACCTTCCTTCTAATGTCCTCCTTAGACCCAGCTGTCGTTCCCACCCCAGCTTGGCTGAGGGGAGCGCACGGGCTCTGCTCTCGCCTGTGGTGCACTCAGCAGGGCTGTCACCTGAGGTGCATAGCCAGGTCCTCGTTTGGGAGGAGTAATTACTGAGAACGGGGGCTGACACATCCATTTACCAATCCTTCAGCAGTAGACTGATTTTAACAGCTGTCATACCAGCATTATCTCTTGTCACCTAATACACTGAGGGTAATTGGACTCGTTCCCAGATCTGCCTTTCCTTGAGAATCCTCTGGGGAGATAAAAATCCCTCGTTCCTCTCTGCACCTCCTGAATCTGCTTCTTCAGGGAGGGAGCCTAGAGCTAATCTGAAGAGCAAAATCCAGCAGCTTTTTCTTCCTCCCCTGCCCTCTCCTCCTCCTCCTCATGTTTTGTTTTGTCTTGTCGGTGGGCGAGGAAAACTGCCTTGCCCTCACCTCAACCTCACTTGCCTGGTAGCTGACCAGTTTTCTTCACACGTGCCCCTCCTGCTGTGCTCCACTCAGTCTCCCATGTTCCCCAGAAATGTGAGCGCTGAAGGTTTAAGATAACCCACCTCCAGGGGAGGTGATATACAGGAGCCTATGTCAGGATTTTTTTTTAACGTGAGGCAACTGCTGTATTAAATGTACAGGAACTTTTTATACACAGATGCATACGGTAAGATTTTAAAGGGATGAGGGGCGCCTGGATGGCTTAGTCAGTTAAGTGTCCAACTTTCGCTTGGGTCATGATCATGCGGTTCGTGGGTTCGAGCCCCGCGTCGGGCTCTGTGCTGACTGCCAGCTCAGAGCCTGGAGCCTGTTTCAGTCTGTGACTCCCTCTCTCTCTGACCCTCCCCTGCTCACGCTGTCTCTCTCTCTCTCTCTCCTAGAAATAAAACATTAAAAAAAAAAAAAAAAGATTTTAAAGGGATGAGGCTGTACTTTGAATGGGAGACATGCATCCGTCAGCAAGCAGAGACAGGCAGGTGATGGTCAAGAGGCATCAGCGAATCCCTGCCCTTCCCCTTCATCTGTGCAGCTCTGGCTACACTGGTGTTTGCCTTGCTTGCCGAATGTTCCAGGCAAGACAAAACACCTTTCTGTCTGAAAATTTGGATGCTCTTCCCCCAGATATCTGCCTGGTTAACTCCCTTGCCAATTCAAGTCTTCCTGCATGAGGTTACCCCCCGCCTCCCCATACTCCTGTTCTCTGTGCTTTGATGTACTTTTTTCCCCTCACTTATTAGCCACATTCTAGTAACACTTATGACAGTGCTCATTTTTATTATTATTCTTTGTCTCTGCCTTTTAGAATATAAGCCCTGCAAAGGCAGGGATCTTAATCTCTTTTGTTTATCGATGTACCTCAGGCCCTTTGAATAGTTCTTGGCCCATAACTGGTGCGCAGTAAATGTTGAGTGAATGAATGGGAGAAAAGGATTCAGCAGCAAACAGAGAAACATAGAGGTTGAGGCTGGATAAAGAAACTAAGGAAACAAGCCATGACCAATACTTTTCTTGATTGGTGATTGGTGACAATCTTTTGAGAAATGGGAATCATAGGGAATTGAATGAAGGGAAGTATAATACTTTCCCAGAAAAATGCACATATCCCCCGCGTTCCACATATGATTTCAGGAGTTTGTAGACATGCTCACCTGCTCCTAAAGCCCATTCACAAATTCTCTCGATCTTCAAATTACATCGCATCTTGAGATCAGATCACCACTCAGATACACTTCCTAGCATTTTCAGAAACAGCCAGTGAGCTGATCGCTGTGTTAGTTGTAGGCTCCTGTCCCTGCCATCACAAAGTGTCCTTCTGCTGGGGCCCACAGACAGGACTATTCTTTGATTTAAGGACAAGGAATAGCTGTTCTGCCTCTTCAGCACTGCTCTGATTTTTATCTTATGAAAATTGTCAACCATGTTGCCAGTCGTGTGTCTGCCCAGCACACTGAGTTCCTGATAAGTATACCTCCTTCCGGTTAGTTTATGGAATGTATCTTATGTTTCCCTCATTCTTGGTTCCACCTGACTGCCCTACACGGATTCTTCTTTTTGTTTCCTCCTCCTTACCCCTTTTTAATGTTTTATCTTTTGTGAAGCTCTCTGGGCTACGCTCCTGAATAACTAAAATAAATATGTAGCAGGGTTCCTTACCCAGATCTATAAGACTACAGTTTAACCTGGGGAGAATGTTGATTTCTGCCTTTCAGTGCCCCACCTCTGACATCTGCCCCTGCTGTCCTCAGCAGAAGATGGAGGAACTGCTTTTCTGCCTTCAAGAGCAATAGCCTAGGAGAGCTATCTAGGTCTATGGTTTTTCTCTTGTCTTGATGGAAGTTAAGTTTTGTCTTTGCTCCGTTCACTAAATCAGCTCCTCTCTCGCTTGCATTATTAGCTTGACTCCACGAGAATTCAACTCCTACGGCTCCCGCCGAGGTAATGATGCCATCATGGCCCGGGGGACATTTGCCAACATTCGCTTGTTAAACAAATTTTTGAACAAGCAGGCACCACAGACTATACATCTGCCTTCTGGAGAAATTGTAAGTACTGTCTCTTCTGCCTGAATGAGAAACTGAATTTCAGCCTCTGACTGAAATTTCATCAGTTCAAGTATTTGAGGGGAAAAATTCCAGGTTCAGGTCTTTAGGAGGCTCTTTATCAATAAGTGCTGTTGTATAACTTTATTAACCTTAAAAAAATTTTTTTTAGGTTTTTATTTATTTTTGAGAGAGAGAGGCAGAGCATGAGCTGGTGAGAGAGAGGGAGAGGGAGACACAGAGTCTGAAGCAGGCTCCAGGCTCTGAGCTAGCCGTCAGCACAGAGCCTCCCCGCACAGGGCTCGAACTCACGAACTGTGAGATCATGACCTGAGCCGAAGTCAGACACTTGCTTAACCAATTGAGCCACCCAGGCGCCCTGACTTTAATTTCGCTCACCGCACCACTAGGAAAAGAAGGCGGCCCGCAGAGTCCTGCTAGGGTCCTAATGAGAGCTGTTAGGAGTTGGCCTGTTATGGCGGGACTTGTTGAGTCACAGATGGGAGGCATGTGAGAGGTGGAGAATGTCTATGTTTTGAGTCAGACATACCATCTGTGGGGTGTTCAGCAAGTTATTTTCCTCTCGGAGCCTCATTTTTCTGACGTGCAAAGTAGAATGATATCTACCTTGTACGGCTCTGAGCCGTAAGCTTAAATGGAATGACACGTAAAACATGGCGGACACTCTCACGCGCATGTCGTCAGCCCTCGACATCCAGCAGATACTGCAAAGCTGCTTGAAAACTGTTTAAGTTACTTGAAAAATAACCCTCTTGACTTACGTTAACAATAATAATAGCTAGTATTTATATGGAACTTACTATATCTGGGTACTGTTCTAAGCTCTTTGTATATGTTGGTCTATTAATCCTCATAACAACTCTCTGACGTAGGTACCATGATCGTTCATTTTTTAAGATCCCAAAAATGGATATTAAAACCTAGAGAGTCTGGCTCCAAAGCCAGTGTGGTTTACCGCCACCCGTACGCCTCACTTGTAACGGAATGTATTTTAGAAAAGCAAACTCTTCACAGATAGTCACTGATCACCAGGACCCAACACCGAGTCAGTGCCCAGTAGATACTTGTTCAGTGAATAGCAGGGATGATAAACTATTCAGTGGGGAAAAAATACAATTAAATGGTCGAATGCCCAAGAGACCAAGGTGAAAGACATGCAGGTATAGACACTGGGTGTCTGTCTGTCTGTCCAGTGTACTGACTGTCACGGTGAATGCCTCCTATTTACAAGTCCTGCCATGACATAGAACTTCTGGTCAGATGTTCAATGCCTCATCTTAAATAAGGAGACAGATGAACAGAAAACAAGCCTTGAACCTGAAAGATAGACCTATGCAAAGAACCAGGGTGGAGGGAGAGGAGGGAAAGAAGATAACAGAGATGATGCAGAGAGCAGAAGAAAACTCCAAGAAAAATACTGTCTTCTCAGAGTGCTGAAGTGATTTTCTGTTGGCATAAGGTCATCAGAGGACAAAAAGGGCTTTGCGTTAAAAAAAAAAAAAAAAAGAAAGAATAGGCTCTTTTAATACTTAAAAAAAGAAAAAGCCCCTAAAAAAATTTCATGGGAAAAGTTGATTAGCTGAGAGGCTCTCTCAGAATATAGAACAGAAAGACAAAGGAAAAATTAGAAAATGTAAGAAAATTAAAGACTAAAATGAGGAGGCTCAGCATCTGACTTAACAGAGCTGAAAAGAAAAGAAATTATTCAAGAAGTAACACAAGGAAAATTCCCCGACTACAAGCTCCGACTCCAGATTACATCCGCCGAATGCCCACGTGATGATGGGAGAACAGCTCCAAGTCGCATCATTGTGAAGCTAAGAGCAGCAGAGATAAGGAAAAGATCTAGAAACTTCCACAGAGAGAAAAACAGCTTGTGTGCAAGTTCTGGGGATCAGAAGCGCTCAAAGCAACACTGGCAACAGACTGGTTTGCACCCCAGAATTCCATGTCCTGTGTTAAGTAGTAGAATTCAGATTCAAAAACTTTAAAAATATCCCTCAATTCCTGTCTCAGGAAATAACTTGGTGAATGTTTTACCAAAATGAGGGAATAAGCCATAAAAGGGGGAGATGTAGGACCCAGGAGAAGGAAATGCAAGGAATCCCCAGGACGTTGATGAAGGAAGATCCTTCCATAACAGGAGCGCACCACATCTAGAGAAGAATCCATCTGAATTGGAACAGGACTGAAATTCCAGGAGTGATCCCTCCAGGAAAAAGATGTTTTCATTTTTATTTTTTAAAATGTTTATTTCTTTATTTTGAGAGAGAAGGTGTGTGTATGTGTGAGCACACACACATACGCAAGCAGGAGAGGGGCAGAGAGAGGAGGAGAGAGAATCCCAAGCAGGTTTCGCACTGTTAGCACAGGGCTAACAGCGGGGCTTGATCCCATGAACCATGAGGTCATGACCCGAGCCAAAATCAAAAACCAACTGAGCCACCCAGGAGCCCCTCCATGGGAAAGATTTTTAAAGAACAGACTTCTGGGGGCACCTGGGTGGCTCAATCAGTTGAGCATCTGACTTCAGTTCAGGTCATGATCTCATGGTTTGTGAGTTTGAGCCCCGCAATCAGGCTCACTGCTGTCAGCACAGAGCCCACTGTCCTCTCTCTACCTCTGCTCTGTTTGTGCTCTCTCTCTCAAAAATAAAAAATAAATATTTAAAAAATGAAAGAAGAAAAAAAAAGAGACTTCCTGATACATTTAAATGTCCTTAGAGAAGATTTGTACTTTAGGCAGAGTGTTTGGGGATTCATTGATGGGTAGGGACATAGAAACAGATGAGCATGCGTGTGCACGCACGTGCGCAAACACACAAATATCATTAATACCAGTGGAGATTTTTTTAATTGCCAAAAAAAGGAAATCATAGTATACATACTGTATGACTCAGCTATAAATAACATTCACATAGAGTAGTGCAAATACTAAATATTGACTTACCCAAAATGTATGTGTTAATTCTGTTGGGGGGCTGGGGGGAGGCGACCCTAGGGGAATAGTAGTTAAAAGAACCAAATCCCCATTAAAGCAGGAAATTGATAGATGATAACAAAAATGGAGAAATGAAGAACTGGTGGTTTCGATACAACACTAGAGCTATAGAGGAACAATAATAGAAGAAAACAATCAAATTTTATGTCCTGTTCTTTAGAAGAGAGGGAGAGTGCGGGGCGCTGTTGCTGGGACTCTGTCCCAGATTCCGGGAGCGCCATGTGCAACTAACCGGAGGCTCCGGCAACCCGTCAGAATAGTACTTTGTGAAAGCTTACTTGAGAGTTTGATTATACACCTTTCTAGAGCTTTTCCCGAAGGAAACACTCTTCTGAGGGACTTTTTTTTTTAAGTAGCCAGGAGAAACAATTGTTTCATTACTTAATCACCAGCAGTGATATCACATGTCCTTGTGAAGGTCTCTGCCCAGCAGAACATTCAGAGTTCTTGTGAAAAGCAAATGAAGCTCTTTGTGTTAAGATGTTTCTCATAGACAGTAAAATATTAGTCCTCTCCTATCCTTTATTGATTGGGGCTTCCACTTCCTACTATCTCTGTCTTGATCTCCATATAGAAAGGTGGCTAATAAGAATTTGCATTTTTTATAATTTTAGGACATGTTGCCTTCTTTGTGTTGGGATACCCTTCCCAACGGACCATCACTGAGTCTCTGAGTCAAATCCCAGGTTTAGGTGGGATTCTCTGTTTTTTAAGCTTTAAAATAGTTTAATCAGGGGGTGATGAGTGACTCATTCAGTTAAGTGTCTTACTTCGGCTCAGGTCATGATCTCGCAGTCCGTGAGTTTGAGCCCCACATCAGGCTCTGCTGACACCTCAAATCCTGGAGACTCGTTGGTTTTCTGTGTCTCCCTTTCTCTCTGCCTCTCTCTCTCTCTCTCTCAATATAATAAACATTAAAAATGTTTTTAAAATAGCGTCATCAATGGAAGAGGGGGGAAAAAAATCTCCTTTCCTCTTTTTTCCCTTGATGCCTTAAGATTTGAATATTTTTCTAAAACCAGGACAACGACTAGGCATTTCAGTTAAAAGAATATACACTTCACTGTTAGGGGTAAGTAGATGGAGTTAGTTGGAAATTTGTGAGCCAAGCAATGAATTGGTTGAGTTTCCATTGGCTTTGTGTTGACTTGGGCCACACTGAAGGCCCTTCCGACCCTGCACGTACCAGGTGCCACTGCCTGTGTTCACACTCTGAGCCTTTACCGCATCCCTAAAACCTTCCTTTTCTCTTCCTCAGCTTGACGTGTTCGATGCCGCAGAGCAGTACCGGCAGGCAGGCCTTCCCCTCATCGTGCTGGCTGGCAAAGAGTATGGTTCGGGCAGCTCCCGGGACTGGGCAGCCAAGGGCCCTTTCCTCCTGGTGAGTATGATGGAGAGGGATCCCAGTAGGCGAGCTCAGGGAAGCATGTGATGTTTGTGCACCTGCTTCTTGGTGGGCCTGGATTTATCTCCGTGAAGGGTGACCTAGAGTTGAACTGGTTCCTCAGATCAGTTATTCATTTTCTGGGGACCATGGATCTTTGGGGGTGTCTTTAGAGCGATTGGGACGAGGGTCTGTGAAGTCTCTGAAATTCTGTTGAAAAGTGTGGACGTATGTCTTTGTTTTGTAGGGAAAAATTTCATGGTTTGCATATTTGGGTTGAGGAGTGGGAATTTCTCTCAGGCGGTTGTCCAGGTGAGCAGTAAGCTGGGCGGCTGATCCTGTATTGTCTGTCAGGAAGTTCACAGAAGGGGAAAAGCAAGGAGCCTGCGCTCTGGACAGACGTTTTACAATCGCTTCTCATTGCTCCTGAATCAGCTTATAGACGCTCAAGGGAAAGGGCAGCTCTCTCTGGATGTAGACAGGCAGCTCTTTAGAACCTTCCACCATTTCAGGGCCTGACCCGCTTGAGGCGTCCCCATGGAGGGGCTGTGCAGGGAGCCGACAGCTTTTACCTCCGAGCATTTATTTGCTGGAAGAGCCTTGCAGCTCAGCTTTAATGCTCAGGGTTGGGTGAACTGCCTTAGCCAGTGTCAATCCAAGTGATTTATGGCTCCAGCAAATTAAGCCTGGGGAGGCACTAATTAAGTTGATATCCACAAGTACAGTAAAGAATGTGGGGTCTGGCAGGTGCCCTCCAGAAGTCCAGGATAACGTGTTTGACTATCACACCTATTTTTTTGTTTTAATCCTTCTGCCTTGTTTGGGGGGCGGGGAGAAGGATGTTCTCTGATTACTTGGTAATATATCAAAAGCCTGCCTTTTCAAGAAGCTGCTGGAAAGAACCAGAGAAGTGACGGAAGAGGAAAGAGTTTTTAGGAACAGGGCTGGGAGCTGGCGGTAGAAGAGAGACCCATGCGGCACGCAGCCAGAGAGGGAACTGTAAGAGCTAGCAGAGGGTATGAGAACCGGGACACAAGGGGCTCCCTGGAGCCTACACTTCTGTACAGAGCGGCTCCGGCTTCGGGCAGCCGAAGCCGGCCAGCTCAGCAGCGCGGGGCAGTTCTCCCGGCAGAGGGGGACAGACGACCGCGGTCTGCAGCGCCGAGCGGCCCTTACCGGGAGCTAGGCACGTGCACAGTGCCCCTCCCCTTCCTAGTAAGTACATGTGCACGTAAATCCAGACAGAATACCTGCTGCTCTGAACAACCTGTTCTTCCTCTGTACACTTATTTTTAAATGTGGAAACGCTTGTGGGATTTTTAAAAATACCTATGCCAGGATCTCATCCCCAGAGATTCTGGTTTCGTTGGTAAGAAGAAAGGCCTGCACACGGGTATTTTAAAAGCCTGCCCTGGTGATTCTAACATGCAGCCAAGTCTGAGCACCAGTGCTTTTTATGCCTATGGCTCTCACAACTCACAAGAATCACTAGCTTCCTCCCACCCCGTGCTCCCTGCAAGAGGTCCTGAGCAGTAGATCTAAGATAGTACCTAAAGAACCTACCATTTTCACAAGTTCGCCGAATGATCCTCATGCAGGGGTGCTTAAAAGTGTACCCTACAGGGCCACCAGGGTGGCTCAGTGAGGGAGGCGTCCGACTCTTGATTTAGGCTTGGGGCATGATCTCAGGGTTGTGAGATGGAGCCCTGAGTCGGGTGTGGAGCCTGCTTGAGATTCTCTCTCTCATTCTCCTACCACCCCTTCCCCGTCAAAAAAGTGTACCCTACATATCAAGAGACCTTTTAGGGGTATCTTATATTACAATTAACAAATACTTAAGAGTGTGGTGTTGTAGTTAATTAAGGATCCTGGCTTATTGATCACTGCTATTTTTTGCCAGTTATATTTTACCAATACAGTGTACTTTATAGGAAGCCTTAATATCAAGACATAGTCAACGCAATTCGATCCTTGAAACAGGAATTCTAAAAGCAGCACATCATTTACTTTTCTCTGTAGTATGTTCTGAAAGTTGCTTTCTTTGGTTAAATCTTTGATGTCTACACCTATAATAAGAGCAAAATTCAAGGGAAATAGAAGAAAACGTGTTTGTTTTTTTGTGCGGTGGATTCCAGATAACAAAGGAAGTTTGCTAAGAGATGTTGTATCACAGAGCAGCTAAGTGCGTTGTCGAACTGCATGGGTTCAAATACCAGATACTCCACTGACGGCATGGGTACAGGGGGGACAATAATGGCCTCTACCTCCCAGAGGTGGCAGAGGGTGGAATGAGAGAATCCATTCAAGTGCTTGCACACTGCCTGTACTGTGTAGGCAGTCAGTTCAGACTAGCTCCTGTGTTATTTATAACTAGAGAGCAACTTTATGTAAACAACAAGTTGGTACTTACAAAGAATTTAGGTGTGAGAAGACTTGACTTAAGCAGCCTTTTGTAAAGCTTCCGTGTAGCTAAAGAAAACTGGAACTGTGTCCAAAGTCCTGTGTTGGCTCCTCAGGGAATCAAAGCCGTCCTGGCGGAGAGTTACGAGCGCATTCACCGCAGTAACTTGGTGGGAATGGGGGTGATTCCCCTTGAATATCTCCCTGGGGAGACTGCAGACACCCTGGGACTCACAGGGCAAGAACGATACACGATCATCATTCCAGAGAACCTCAAACCACGAATGAAAGTGCAGGTCAAGGTAAGCTGAACCTCTCCACGCCCGGCCCAAGGAAACAGGGCCGTGTATTTATAATCGATACAGTCAGAAGGAAACAAGTGGAATTTGGAAGGAAAGCAAATCACTCAGTAGGACTGCGTTAGACTCAGGATTCTGCTGGCTCCTGTTCTCACAACATGGAGGGCTTGGCAGCCGTTGACTCATCACATAGTGTTTGTTTATGCGTGCGGACACCCTCACTTCCTTTCCCCCCACCCGCCTCCCCAACTCCAGCCAGCCCCACTGTCTTTTCTGCCACCCAGTGTCCCTTAGCCCAAAGAGGGGTGGGGGAAGCTCAATGACAGGGCGTTTTCACATTACCCCCAAAATACCTTTTTATTACTGAATTGTGAACAGACACACCCCATCCCTGAGCCTCACCCCAGACCCCAGATTTTGATTAGCCCAAAGGTAAAAATGACAGCTCCCTCCATGAGGTGAGGCCAAGGACCCAGCGCTGCCTACTTGACAACCTTAATGAGACCTCTCCTGACCTCTCTCCAGCTCCCGGAGAGTGTTTAGAAAATACCATCCAGGGTTACCTGGGTGGCTCAATCTGGTAAGCATCCAACTTTGGCTCACGTCATGATCTCATGGTTCATGAGTTTGAGCCCCACATCAAATGCTTGGGATTCTTTGTCTCCCTCTCTCTCTCTGCCCCTCCCCCCATTCACATGCTCGCTCTCTCTGCCTCTCAAAACAAATAGACTTAAATACCATCTCACACATCACCTGGTTCTCACGCGCCACATCACTGCCATCACTCCTACTCCACCGGGCTTCCCTGCGCAGAGAAGTCTGCTGGGGGCTTGTCCACGGGCAGCCTCTGATTTCCTGGATCTGGGCAGGAGCCAGGGACAGCACGCGGCCGCCCCTCCTGACGGAGCTGCCTACCCTCCTCCCTCACTGATTCTCCTCCTCTTTGTCACCACAGCTGGACACCGGGAAGACCTTCCAGGCCGTCATGAGGTTTGACACCGACGTGGAGCTTGCTTATTTCCACAACGGGGGCATCCTCAACTACATGATCCGCAAGATGGCCAAGTAGGTCACCTGCACTTGGAGCTGCACCAGAAGGGAACAAAGTGCCACCAACCAGCTGGGCCCTTGGTGCAGAGAACCCCCCTCCACGCGTGGGCCTCCCCGCAGGGGTGCTGCCTGGCACACAGGCGTACGAACACGGATGTGTTCTGGTGCCATCCCTCCAGGCACAAAACGAGCAGTTTCTACCTTCTCTATTCTTGTGAATCTTTGGCCCTTTTTCTAGAATTTGGAAGCAAGAGTGGTGGCGATGTCAGTAGTGCCAGAAAGGGAGAACTAAGCTTCTCTTTAAAGTAACTTATCACAGGATGTTGATGTTTTTCACTCTCAGCCTGTTATTGTTCGGCTGGACACAGTAAGTCTTCTCAGAAGGCGTCGCCTGTCCTCTTTCCTGTTGGGTTCTGTTCTCCTCTGCTCCATGAAACCTTTTCCATGAGGCTCACTGGTCTTTGCATAGTGTGCTGGCATTGCCTGACATGGGTCGGTAAGAACTCTCTCACACTTGAGATCACAGTGGTGATTGTGACTCCCCTGCGCCCTTCCTCCTTCAGAGCGAATGATCCAGACACCTTGGATCAGACACTGACATTTTTTTATTATGTACCTTTAGGTGGATCAACACTAAAGAAATTGTGACATTTTTCTTTTACTACCTTCAAAAATTTTCCCCAGAAAATTTCTCACTTGTCAAGGGGAGGACTTTGGAGGTGGTTTTGGAGAGAGACTTAGAACATTGGTAATTTGAATAAGATTAAATCTATTTTCAAGGAAAACTTTTTGACTTTGCAATTGATTTCTATTGTATGTGAGGCTCTAGTCTGGGCATATTTAGAGCAGAGTGAGTCTCAGGCTGCCAGCATCTTGAAGCCTGGGTGACATTTAATTTCTCCTGCTTTTACAACCCTATCCGTACTATATACAGGGGAAATGGAAGAGTTGGGGAGCCAGGATTTTGCTGCCCTGGTTGGGAGCAGACAAGGTAGTAGCCGCAATAATGTAAGTATGGTGAGCAGATCATAATCTTTTGATTTTTTTTGTGTCCTATAGTTTATGTCCTTATTGTCATCACTGACCTCATTTTGGGGCACATGTTTTAGTCTGCTCCAGCTGCCGTAACAAAATATCATAGACTGGGTGACTCAAACATCAAAAATGTACTTTCTCCTTTCTGGAGGCTGCAAGTCCAAGATCAGGTTTCCAGCCAATTCATTTTCTGGTGAGAGCTTTCTACCTGGTTTGCAAATAGTCATCACCTTGCTCTGACCCCACCTGTCTTTCCTTAATGCATGTATGAGGAGAGAGAGAGAAAGAGCTGGCTCTCTGGTGTCTTTTAAAGACACTGATTTATCAGATCAGGGCCCCACCCCTCTGACCTCATTTAACCTTAATCACTTCCTTAGAGATCCCTTCTCCAAGGAGATACGCAGGGAGTTAGGGCTTCAACATAGAATTTTGGGGTGAGGGGTGGGACATAAGACATTCAGTCCATAACAGGGTACCTTACACCTCACAAGTTAGTCTCCTTGTCATGAATTTTAAATCTCAACTTCAGCACTCAGGGAGTGTGGCCTGGCCATCAGAACACCCAGGATCAAGTCCTGTCTCTACTTCTTCCAAGATGAGGGACAAGACACTTATTGAGCATCCCTGCTTCTGATGTCCTGGGACCTAGTTTGTGCTCCTAAGAAAAAATGAGAGACAGAACCTTGTTGTATAAACCCGTGACCTTCAAATAAGGATCCGTCCTAACATGAAAACACAAAGAAAGGCTGAGAAAACAGACCTCACTGCCTCAGTGTTCCATGACTGAGCTCCTGGGGAGCTGTGTGGTTCCCAGCATTCAGGGGCTCTGCGGAGACATTCTTGTGGCTATGACTTCCAAAACGGGGTCCCTTCACTTCCAGACTCCTCTGCCTGCAAACACCCCCTCGGCCACAACCAGACTGGACAAGTAAACTCCTCTGGCCTAGTTTCTCAAGAAGGTACCAGTCTCCCTGCCAAATGCAAGTATGCTGCTCTTGTTGGTGCTAGGCCTCCCTCCTCTCCATGGGAGTCTCATCTCCTTGGTTCTTATAGCTTTCCAAATCCATCACGCCTGCTGCCTGCTGGGAAACCGAACGTACTTTGGTGTGCACCCTCAGGTGACTGACAGGCTTCTCTAATGCAGCAAATAAGTGCATGTGTCTTTGGCTCTGGGGCAGCCTTTACTAGGTGGAGGGGAAGCTAGGGGAAGGGTGCATTAGTCACAGCTCTTAGTTATGGTGTTGGAAGCACCACTCAAACTGGCTAAGCAAAAATATTGACAGTAATAATAACTGGCTCATAGAACTCGAAGACCAGAGGTGGCCATGGCCCTAGGCTTGGTTGGATCTGGTGACTCAGACCCAGGTTCTCCCCGTCGTCTCCCTCGGTTCTTACCTTCCATCTCCAATGGCCTCCTTCTTCAGGGCTGTTCCATGTGCAGGGAATGTGGCCTCCAGCAGCTCGAGGCTAGCAGGTAATAGTTTGTGAACTTAGAGATTTATCTTCCAGTATTTTGTAGGCTAAAATTGGGAGTTTTTCAAGTCACCAAAATGGAAAACCGTATTTTTGGCCCAGTGTCCCTTTCAAGGCTATGTGAGGACAGTGGCGTACCCAGCAGGGCTATGCAGGAGCAACAGAGAGTCACTTCTGGAAAAGAGAAACTGACATTTCATGGCTCCTTTCTGTGGAAGCTGTTCAGTGTCATGACCACAAACAGAATTTAATACCCAAGTAGTTTTTGTTCAGCCAGATCGCCTTATTATCATGAACAAAGATTATACAATTATAGCTGATAGTTTTAATAATTTTGTATCCCAAGAACTGAGGCCTATGTATTCAGTACAGATTTGCTGAGCAAAACCGTCTAGTTTTATTACATAGAGTAATAAAAGAGTTACTGGTTATGATCCTGAAATTAACATTCCAATGTGGCTCTGGTTGTCTAGTCCTTGTCAGGGACCTGCTGTTGTGCTTCTATAGGATGTTAATGGGGTCCTATGAACAACAGGGTTCCAGGGTCTATGTATTTGGGAACCGCTGGGTTAAGTGGGTCTTACTAGCACAGAACCGACACAATGACACACAATGACCAAGCAGGCTGTAAATCACTCACTTGAGAGGCAGGCTGGCAGCAGACGGTACAGGAACCCATCTGCCCACAGTGTATTTTCTTCAGAGCATCTTACAGCATGTGTGTTCCACAGGACGTGCTGGAAGAAACGCTGACATGAGGGTTAGTCTTTTTAAATTCAAGTGACAATAAGTTTTAAGGAGAGGAATTGGAGTTTACAGCCCTCGATACACAATCAGGCATTTGACTGAAGGCCACTTTTCATTGCAGGTGAGAAACCCATCACCACGTCAGCACTGGCAGGAGCCAAAGAGAATCCAGGTCCTGTGGGTGCATAGCAGATTGTGTCTGAACCACCTGATGAACTTCAGAAAGTACACATGGCTGGACGCCCTCCTGGGGCATCCTCATGGGGGTGGGGCATAGACCCATGAAACAGACTCCCCAGTGGGTTTGGGCATACAGCCTTTGACCTAGAAATCCAATGACCAGCATTTGGGCATCAGTCAAGAGTTTGCAGTTTTTTAAATCCTAAACTGCCACTTTTTTTCATTCAATAAATAGTAACTGAGTACCCTGGCAGTGGCTTGATTTGGTGCAAAAGTCCTCTAAGGGAATCCTAGGTTCTTTTTCTCTTCCCTGCAGTCTGCCTTCTGATGGCTGAAGAGAGGATGACACACCTTTATCCAAACTGACCCATGTAGATGCTTGAAAGAACTTTTCTCAAATTAATCTCCAGTAGTTATTTTCAACATCCTATTAAAATTCTTAAACAGCATCCCAAAAAGGCAATCACTTATTAAAAGAGGTACTTGTGAAATTATGATTTATATAACTATATATTTGACTTATGTCTCCATTTCTGGCACTGAGCTCCTAAAAGCCTCAGCATTCCCTAAGTGACAAGGGACTGAAGTGTCTCCTGCGATGTTAATGACGTGACTTTTGGACCACACTGAAGGATGGGGGCTGGTTGCCAGGGCAACCAACTCTCAAATTAGAGCTGGAATGTTCAGTCCCACCTCCTGACCACTGGGTAGGGGAACTGGAGGTAGAAAAAATCATTGGCCATTGGTGATTGAATCAGTCATGTTCATATAATAAAGCCTCCATAAAAAACCAAAGGATTTGGTTTAGAGAGCTTCTAGTTTGTGAGCAGGTGGAGATTTGGAGAGGGCATGAGACCTCCCTGCTGTTCCTGAGTTATACCCTTTCCTAATCGGTGATTTAGAAAGTACAATGTTTCTCTGAGTTCTGTGACCCACTCTAACAGATGAATCAAATTCAAGGAAGAGGAGGTCATTGGAACCTCTGATCTATAGCCTATCAGAGACACAGGTGATTACCTGGATTTGCAATGATGCCGAAGTGGGAGTGGGTGGGGCAGTCTTCTAGGACTGAGAACCCTTGACCTGTGGGATCTGAAGCTATCTTCCAGGTTGACAATGTCAGAATTGGATTGATTTACAGGTTATTTGGCTGGTGTCAGACAATTACTTGTTGACATGGGAAAACCCCCAACACTGGAATTGGTGACCAGAACCTTACATAATCTAGTAAAATATAAATGGAAAGGGAATAAAAATCAGCAAGTAGTTTGGCTTAAATAATCCATTTTTATTGTGTCTTACTAAGAACATTACTAAGAGTAACCATTACCATGCAATTCCTATATAAAATATACTTTTCATACATTATTTCAGTTAAAAACTTCACTAACCTTTCCAGGTATGTATTATCCTGGTCTTACAGAGGAAAGAAGTTAAGCCAAAGAGACATTAGGTACCTGGCAAGTTTGCTGACTCTTGGCCAGCACAGCTGCTCATCAGATCAAATGGAGAGTGAGGTGGCTGAACCATGTCACCCCATTGAACTTCAGGGTTGATCTCTTGGACACCAAATAGCATTTAGATGTAAATAGGTGCTACTTGAAAAGGGTTGTGCAATCAAAGATGTTGAAGATATTATTAACATTTTGTGATGTTTGAAGGTTTGTTTAAGCCATTGATGGTTCTAGTGAATTACAAACAACTAATCTGAATCTGTTTAGGAAAATAGTTACTACAGAGCCTATCCTGAATTGAACACAAAATACCTTGGCCTGCATGGGAGCAGCAAAATTCAGGCAGTTGTCCCCATGTCTGGACAACCCTAAACTAAGCTCTCAGGACATCATCCAACCTTGTTTAGTGACACAAGAATGCCATTTGAATACATATTCTAACTTTTTAAGTGGAAAGGACAGCCAAATTTATCTCCTCAGTTTCATCCAAGGCACCTGAGAACAGAGTCCAAGTGTTGACCATCAACTATTATTACAAAATGGCTTGAGATGACCGTTCAAAGGGAACAAGGGCACACAGTTTAAGGAAACAAACAGGACAAGATGTACAATAAACTATAAGAACAGAAATCAAATTTCTTAAAAACTAGATCATTTACATGCTCCCATTACTGAAAGTTATCCTACAGAATTTTAAGATTACATGCCACACACTGATAAATAGAAAATATGAGTAACTGTTATACCTCTGTATTTGAATATTTACTGAACCCTTAGAACCGTCAGTGTTTAAAAGATCAGCATAGAGGAATCAATAGGAAAGACTGTGACAGAGCTATAAGAAATAGAAGCCAAGGGGCTTCCAGGAAAAGAATACTCAACAGGGCCAAAAGCAATAAAGAAATCAAAGAGAGAAGGCCTAAGAAGTGTCCAATGGATTGGCAATCAGAGTCAACTGGTCTTAAGAACAATTTCAGTAGATTAAGGGCAAAAGTCAGTTTATGGTAGTAGGTTAAGGAAAGAAAGGGAAGTATGAAAAAAATTTGCAACCTTTCTTTCATTCCTTCCAGTGTGTACTGGTGGCCACTGGGTGTACATCGGCAACCAGTTGTGAAGGGAAGGATAGAAAGAAGGCTTTTTAATTTTCACCAAGTACTTAGAGCTTTACTGGCCTACAGAAAACAATAAACAGGGTGAAGTTAAGGGATAGATAGTATAGTTCGATACAAGCCTTGCAAAAAATACCTTCACAATGGTACAAGCAATCTGTGATTGTATCCACTGGGGCTAATTTCTTGTCAGGGTCATCCATTCCCTGTAGCTAGAGAATGAGGCACCTAGGTTATCTGAACATTTCCTTAGCATCAAATGGTATCTTCTCAAAATGAAAGTCCTTCCATTTCGTATACAGTTTCTGAGCTCCAGTTACAATATCCTCCACCACAAAACTTTCCATTTTTATAAGTGGAATCTCAAATTTCTTATACTTGACACAGATTCCCCAGTCATGGCTGCAGTTCGGTCTGGCACAGTAGATCTTTGCTCTCTTCTCAAAATGTCCAAAGCTCTTTGGTTTGAGGTGCGCTTTACTCACAAAGCACTTCCCAAAAGCATCTCCAACCACAGTGTAATGGCATTCCTACAGATGAAGGGATTGAATAACAAAACAACATTAAAACCACTACAAAACTGTGATTTTAAAAAACTCCACCGTAATCTGAGATGAAGAGCAGGTGGGATCCCACTTATTTTACAGATGGGGTAAGAAGGAAATATGCATTCACCTGAAGGCCAGACTGGAATCCATGCAGCCTGGCTCCCAGTTACATGGATGGAGATGAGGGTGGGAGTGAGGGTGCAAGTGAGGTGACAGGGGCCATCTCATGAAGAGGAGGACTAAGAAGTTTCCAGGCAACTGCACTTCTGAGAGTAGATACTCTTTATTGATTCAGAAACAAAAGTGAGCATTTATTGATCTCCACAAAGCCGGAGTTCACAGGCCAGGCATAATCCACAGGATACAGAGAAGAACAGCAAAGGGTCAATATGGATCTGAAGAGGGTGGGGGACTCAAGGGTCCAGAGGCTCTGCCAGATAGTCAACTTTAGAGTAAACCTCTGAAAGGCCACACTGTACAGAACAAACACAGACCCAATGCACCAGGCCCTCAGGAAACAGTCATAAAGCACCATTTCAATAGAAAAATCGCTGTAACTGGAGCTAAAAAGACCTTTTATAGCTACAGCAGCAGACTCCTAAAGGCATGGGAATTTGCTAGTATCACCCCTAATATGCTTCTCACTCAAACAGATGGACTGATTAGAGACTTCAGCTTTCTGAAAACCAAAGAGAACCCTAAAAACTCGTCATCTGAACCAGCCTCCCCTCTATCAGCAGCAATGGAGTTACATCCAATTTTTGTCTTTAGACATTTTCATGTCCAAAAGTTTTATCCTAAAGTATTAAGAAAAAAAAAATACAGAAAACTAACCTGTTTTTTAAAATGAGATATTTTGTTTGCATTATAAAAGTGATTTGTATCCCAGAAAGAAAGTTTAGAAAAAATAAAATAGTAGGGAGAAGGGGTGCCTGGGTGGCTTAGGCATCTGGCTTCAGCTCAGGTCATGATCTCATCATTTGTGGGTTCAAGCCCCACGTCACAATCTGTGCTGACAGCAAGGAGCCTGTAGCCTGCTTCAGATTCTGTCTGCCCCTCTCCCCCTCGCACTCACTCTCTTTCTCTCTCTCAAAAATAAATGAACATTAAAAAAAATTTTTTTTAATAGAAAAAATCACGAAGTCTCACTGCAAAATAGTAATACATTTTAATATATTTCCCCTACTTTTTTCTATAGAAGGTTAAATTTTTTTGGTTGTTGTTGGTAGTGATGGTGGTATTGTTGCTATTATTTCACACTGCTATAGTCCTAGCAAAAAATTTAGCAAAACACAAAACTTACAATTTTTCAAAATTTTACAATTTTGTATCCTTGTTATTTTTCCCACTTCACCATTAGTTTGTAAGAAGTTTTTCATTATACATAAGCTTCATGATCATTTTAATAAACTTTACTTTGGAATTATTTTAGATTTACAGAAAAACTGCAAAGATGGTCCAGGAAATTCCTATAGACGCTTCATTCAGCTTCCCGGAATACTAACACACCATAGTACACTTGTCAAAAGTAAGAAATTAGGATTGGAACATTACTATTAACTAAACTACAGATTCTACTACCTTTTCTAATAATATACTTTATCTGTTCCATGACTGAATCCAGGATACCCCCATTCATTTAGCATAACCGTGATTTTAATGGCTATGGAATAGTTAAGTGGCTTCTTTTTCTTCTTTATTGTTAAGGGTTTCTTATTAAAATGTTTTTGTCTCTTTTAAAATACGTGGACCATGGCCATGAAAACAACAAAAATAATAATGTCTTACTATAAACATCTCACTGATAGTGAGCTTTACTTAGTGCTAAAAAAATAGCCAAGTGCTTTTTGTTAAAAAGGCTGCTTACCTCCACCACTCTGATATCAACTGTGTAACATGCAAAGGCTTTGCACTTTCTGCAGAGTAGTTTTTTATTTTCCTTATCTGGTACAGGTTCTACTTTTCCTTGACTATCCCTGATGAATTTTTCTTGAATCTGTATCTGGAGAACCTACATGCAAAAAAAAACAAAAAAAACAAACAAACCAAAACCCACATTGTCAGTGTAATTTGAGTACAACTAGGAGATATATATATATACACACATATATATGTATATAATCATTCATATACAACTGCCATGAATATACAGTACCTGCCTTTGTTTATTTAAAAAAAATACCATAAATAATCTTAATGGTTCTCCTAATTCTTTGTTAGTCACTGTTTAACTGTAACCTCCAATTAGTCTTTTAATTTCTTGATCAGAGATGCCCAGGAAGTACTAAGGATGTCCATAAAAGTCATCTGAACTATGCTTCCTACTTTAGTAGTTGGCAAAATTTTTTAAGTTCCTCACAAATAAACATATGACATATATTGATGGTTTCAGGCATAATCACACCCACTTCTAGGGCAAAAACCCATTACATGGAACAGCAGGCAGAAGAGTCCCCATCATCTAAAATCTTTTTTCTCTCTTCCCTTCCAACCATAGAGAGTATTATTGAATTACAGTCAAGTTAAATGTATATATAGTGTGACTGCATTCTATTTCAAAACTCAGGACATCTAAGTATAACTAAGAACCTTGACATTACAGATAAAATAAACCTAAGAAGATTCTGAAGGGTGAAGAGAAGATGCCAGACAGCTAGAAAACACATGGTAGAACAACACAGTGAATTCCCTGGGTTTTCTTTTCACCTCATATATCCAGACTTGGGGCTGAAGAAACCAGCAAGCAAAAATGCCTATAGGCACAGATAAAAAACATCTCAACAGAAGCCTACTCTCTCTAGCCAAAGGATCAGGAAAGGCACAGACTAGCAAGACAAAAAACTTTTAGACATTAGCTGTTCTACTCGAAACATCACAGAATGAAACAAAAAAAACTATGGCCTAGGGGCACCTGGGTGGCACAGTAGCTTAAGTGTCCAACTTTCGATCTCTGCTCAGGTCATGATCTCACAGTTCCTGAGTTCGAGCCTGCATTGGGCTCTGTGCTGATGGCACAAGGCCTGCTTGGAATTCTCTCTCTCCTTCTCTCTGCCCTTCCCCCACTTGTGTTCATGCCGCCCCCCCCAAATAAATGAACTATTACTTTTTTAATGTTTATTTTTGAGAGAGAGAGTATCGGGGAAGGGGGGGATGAAGGTGGAGCACAGAGAGAGAGAAAGACACAGAATCCCAACCAGGCTCCAGGCTCGGGAATGAAGCTCTCAGCACAGAACCTGATGCGGGGCTCGAACTCAAGAACCCTGAGATTATGACCTGAGCCGAAGTCAGACACTGTCTGAGCCATCCAGGTGCCCCTAGATAAATAAACTAAATAAATAAATAACCGATTTTTAGCCTCACTGCTACTCATGCCAGCAAAGACTGAGGGGGGCGGGGGTCACCAAGGTTTCCACCTGCAGAGCTGTAACAAAGAACCTTGACATTCTCCCCCCATGGTGTCAGAGAAGGACAAGTGGGGAGCCATGACTGTCAGCCCTGCCAAACGGTAGACGCCCCTGCCTGTGATGTCGAGGAGACCCTGTGGGGAGCAAGAACTCCCACACACACACCCCCACACACACAAAATTGCCACCTACCAATAGGTCCTGATCCTGGAGTCGTTCCAGACTCCCTCTCATTCTTTACCATCTCTGCCCGTTTTCTATGGCTGTGAGGGGAATCCCAAATGTGACTCGGTAGTCTAACTCAACAGATACTGAACCTGTTTGGTCCTCATCCCACTACTTGTCCTGGTACGCTGACTACAAAATAACGTCTGTGTCTGGACCAGCCTCCATCTCCCTCATTAAATTTTTACTCTATTTCTTCTGTCACATAGGAGTCCAAGCAGCTTGTCACCCAATGGAAGAGACAAAAATTATGGCATGGTTATTAAAGCTATTATGGTTTTAAAACTTTTATTGCCAACATCCCCATCTGTTACAAAATGGGAAGGTGGCTCAGTGAAAAGTCCCTATCTTCAGTAAAATTCAGGAAGAAAATTAAGAGGAACTAAAAAATTTCCCTGCCATACTCAGTAAAACTGTCAAAGAAGTATTTTTAAATATTTTAGTCTCTAAGCTTTAGGAAGAAATGTTTTTAAAAATGAGTAAACACTGACATATAGTTGTGATTTTATGTCCTAAAATAAGTATAAGGCCACTGCTTCTTAAAACTTTTTTTGATAAAAGAGATTATGACTTTTTAAAAATATGGACACTATGGAGTTAATCTATTGAAATGTAAGGTTCATCTTTGTGAAGATCAAGTCTACCTTCCATATGCCTCTGTCCATAACAACTCTCATTTTTTGAGCACTTACTTTATACCAGGCACTGTGCTGAACGATGCACATACCCCATTTTATCCCCCAAACTGCCCTATGAACTAAATGCCATTCCTTTCCCAACTTTACGAATGAGGAGACTGATGCCTTAAGAGATAGAGTAACTGCCTTAAGTCACATCTCTCTAGAGTGGCAGCGATTCTGGGATGAAAGTCCCCACAAAGGGTCTAGAGAAAGTGTGGGGGTACATGTACATGCGTGCATGTGTGTGTGCGTGTGCATATGTTTCTTAACTTTCCCCAATCTGGTTCCACGCTTCTGGGTTCTAAAGGAAATTACAATTAAATGAAGGTTACTACCAAGAGGCTGCACTGAACAGGTAACGCCACTCCCAAGTGTACATTACAATCCACAGCCACAACAGGCATTTTACCACATGCACAGTGCACTGGGGGCTCTTTTCAGAGGACTCCAGATGTTAGCGAGAGGGGTATGAGGAAAAGACGGATAAGGGCAGTGTCTTGCCTGTTACAGTGTAGTCCTCAAGATGAGCTCCCAACTTAAGGGTCATTCTGACTCAGTTTGCCTTTTCTAACTAAAAACCGAACTTCAAGTATCAGCACTAATAATTTGTATTTTAATCTCACTGAGACTTAAAGCAGAATGACTCCGATGTTCACTCCGGGACAAAAATTTAAGCATAAACTTCCTGTTCTAATGCAACACTCAGAGCAATGGATAAAAGGTACCAACTATGCTCGCATTCTATTACAGTCAGAGTCTGAAAGAATAGCACAGATTAAAAGACTTACCTTTTCTTTAAATACTGCTTCATTCCATGTCTGAAGCATTGAAATGGAGTCATTCATCATTTTTTCTTTGCACATGTTCATTTTTTCTTTTTCAATTACATCGGCATTGCTAGTCAGAAGGAAGCACTTGCTACCTCTTGCTCTTCCTCTGCCTATCAGAAAACAAATTTTTTATTCAGTGCCTTTGACTTAAAACTCTGATAAATCTGAGAATAGGTAAACAAAGGGGTATTCATACAATTCAACTTTGGTTCACCGAACCCCACTTTCATAGGAAAGCTGAGCTGTTAGAGCATGGGCTTCAATGCAGGTATATATGTGAATATAAAAACTACTTGTTAAACTAAGAGCCCACCATAGACTGGCTTCCTTGGGGTCTCCATGTTGCAGTGTGATTAGACAGCCATGTTATCAGAGACACTGCCTTAAAGACAATCCAGCAGGAACCCTCAAGATGACACTGTGAGCACTCTAAGACAAATAATAAACACACCCTCTCTCAAAAGCTTTCAGGGAATTGGGTAAGTAGCTATGTTCACAGTCATCAGAATATAGATAGAAATAATAAGTGCTGTCAGAATGATCACTGTAAAGTATCATGTGCATTCTAAAGATTATTGCCAGCTGGGGGGGACTAGGGACAAGTAATAGGGAATCGGAGAAGAGGTAAAGAGGTAAAACAAAGATTATCAGTACATGAGCACTTTCTTCAACAATGAGACAATGATGAAATCAGGTTGGCAAAAGTGGATAATGAATAAAAGGGAAGAATGAAAAATAGGTTGGAAAGATAAGTTAGTGTTGGAGTTTGAACTTTTTAACATCATGTAAATTGGAACGTACTAGAGTTTCTATATAGGGAAGTGACATGCCCAGAGCTGTTTTTCAAGAAGTAAAGTGGCAGCTATTATGGAAATTGAAAAAAGGAAGAGAGGCTATTTAGGAGATCACCTAGTTGAGGTAAGACAGAAGAATCCCATGGACTATGTCTTCTAGAATACAGGGTCCATCAGTACCACAAGCACAACCATGAGAGGTCCACATGTTGGCTGCCAAAGTCTCCATCCAAGCGAGAATTATCTTTTGATAAGTGTCAGTCAATATAGGTCAACTAAACAGTATTCATTGTGACCAAGAATCAAGGTGGGATATATATTAGTGGGCAAAATTGTACCCCCCCCCCAATCCTGGTCAAGTAAGTCACTGCTAGGGCCAATGACGCCAAAGTCCACTGTGCCAACCAAGGGTCAGTAGAAGAGAAAGGCCAGAAGCACAATGACTGGTAGAAAGAAAGTTTCTAAATGACAGACACACTCAGACCAATTGACAGCCACTTAGTAATGGCATCAAAGCTTTTCTCACCTCTAGTTTGGATCATTTTGATGACATTGCCCACATACTCATACAGGATGACCAAATTGCACTCAGCGATGTCAATGCCTTCATCAGCAACGGAGGTGGCGATCAGAATCTTTTTATCTCCATTAGTTCTGAATGCATTCAATGCACACTTCTGTGCTGGGAGTGTCATCCCTGCATCAGTCAGAGGGCATTTTAGAACTCACCAAAAGAGAGAATTTTACTCTTGAAAAATAGCCATTAATGATGGAATGCTTATTATGTGCCAAATACTGCGATGAGTGCTTTATAACCATGATATTAAAACAACCCTAGGGGGTAGGACCTATTCCTATCCTTGTTTTAGAGGACATAATGATGGTGTTTAACAATTTGGACTCTGCTACAAGACTGCCTCAGTTCAAATCCTAGCTGGGGGACTGACTAGCTGTGTGACTTCAGCCATGTTATCTCAAAACAAATATTGATTTTTTAATTATTTTTTTATTTTTTTCCAAAGCTATCAACAACTAATCATAATGCCTTTGCATGTGTCAAGGACTTTACAGCTGACAAAACAGTTTCACAACTACTTACTCACTGGAACTTCACAGAGCCCTTTTCAGTTGATGTGGCAAGTGTTATAACTCCCCTTTACAGATGAAGACCTTGAGGTTTTGGAGGTCTGATAAACTGACAGCCTGGCAGAACCAAGCCTGTATTTAAGTCTGAGACCCTAACAGCATGCAGTTCTCAGTCACTGGTATACTAAGAAAAAAAGAACTTCAAGGTCTCTACCTCTAAGTTAATTCATAAAAGTTGGCAGCCAAAATCTTCAGATACATTTTAAGGCCAAAACAATTTATTTTACCATCATCTTCTACTGAATATCGTGCATGCCCAAGGCAGCCACCATACTTCATTAATTTCTAAACTTATTCATCCATTTCTTCATCAAACATTTATTCACCAATTATAATTTGCCAGCTAAAAATATAATGGCTAAAAGGTCCACTTTTTTCTACGAGGATCTCATAGAAGAAGGATATAAATAGGGAACTATAATTCAGTGTGATAAGCAATGAAATGGAGGCAGAGTGGATCTATGGGATGAGAAGGAGAGACACTTCAACTAGTTTTAGGAGGTTGGGGAAGGCCACTTGGATAAGCACAATGACTGGTACACAGTACGTTTCCAAGCAAATGTGGATGGATGGATGATGGATGGATGGATGGATGGAAGGAGGGAGGGAGGGATGATGGATAAATGATGGATGGATGATGGGTGGATGATGGGTGGGTGGATAGATAAATGAATAAACAAGAAATGCTTTGAGTGCCTATTTGTGAAGAAAGAACAAAGTTTGAAAATCAACTCACGTAGGAGTCAAAATGCAGAGAACTTTAAATTCCACGTGCCATAATTTGGTATTAGACTTCATTTGGTAAGCTAAATTTTCAAAATCTGAATTTACTTTTTAGATTCAAGAAGTTTAAACTTCGCATAAGGGAAAAGCACAAGAGTGATGAGTGTGGACTGACAGGATGGGGACGGCTTATTATAAACAAAACTAATTAAACAGGAGGAACAGAGTGAGGACCAGTCCCTACTGGTCACTGACATGGGGGAGCACAGCTGCAAGACTGTCAGGTGGAGCTGGCCACCCAAGATCTTCTTGGATAATACCAGAGGCAGCCTTTCAGTTGATTTAATTATCCTGAGAGAGAGTAAGCAAGTGAGCATGGGAGGGGCAGAGAGAGAGGAAGAGAGAATCCCAAGCAGTCTCCATGCTATAAGCACAGAGCTTGACTCAGAGCTCAAATTCACGAAGTGTGAGATCATGACCTGAGCCAAAATAAAGGGTCAGACACTTAACTGAGCTACCCAGGTGGCATGAACTTTTTTAATTATAAAATATCTAATACACATAAAAGCATCTATAGTTTAAAAAACAATAAAATAAAAACAGAACATTTCTATTTCCAGGTGATTTTAATCCAGTGGTTGAGAATTGGAGAAAAAGAGTGACATGTCAAACAATATTATAAAAAATAACTTTGGTTTTGCCCACTGGACATACGGGAAGAAGCAATGTCTACAAGTTTTTGGCATCTGAGCATTGTGATGGCTTTCTGATGTGTCAATTTGGCTACGCTGAACTACCGTACCTTGTTATTGATCTAGGTGTTTTTGTGAAGGAAATTTGCAGATGTAATTAAAGTTCCCAATCAGGAGCGCCTGGGGGGCTCAGTCAGTTAAGCGTCCAACTTTGTCTCAGGTCATGATCTCACGGTTCATGAGTTCAAGCTTCACATCGGGCTCTGTGCTGACACCTCAGAGCCTGGAGCTCGTTTTGGATTCTGTGTCGTCTCCCTGTCTCTCTGCTCCCCACCTGCTCTTGCTCTGTCTTTCTCTCAAAAAATAAGCATTAAAAAAATAAAAAGTTCCTAATCACTTGACACTGAAGTTGTGAAAGACGTTTCATCCTTGGTTGGCCTGACCCACAGTCAATCGGCCCTTTGAAAGAGGAGTTAGGCATCAGTTTCTGAGCTCAGAGACTCCAAACAATTCATGCCTGTGGAGGTCAGACCTGCTCCTGACCACCTGCTCTATGGATTTCAGATTTCCTTTGCCAGTCTGTGTATGCTTACTCCTAAATCCCTATGAATGTATGTGTTTCACACACACATAAACAACATATATATGTATATATATATTTGTGTACAACCTCCTACTGGTTTTATTTGTCCCAACTGATATAACCATTAAAAAAGAATTTGAATATATTATAAATATTCATATAGGTAATATACTAACTCTAATTCATTATATATGAGTACCTGATATGTTCTGATTTGTTTTGCCTCGTCCAGTCAATATGCCAGGTTTTAGAAAGCTGAGTTCAGAATTTTCTTCAATCCATTTCTTCAAAGCCTGAAAATCAAAAGGAATTATCAGCTGGACACTATTTGTATAACGTCGGTATTAACACTGAAATATTGCAAGAAGAAAAAAAACCTTTTAGTAAATAGTTTTCTGACTGACAAATCTGAGAATAAAAGCTTTCTGGAATTCTATGCAATCTTAACTATAATGGTTAAGACCTTTGTAATCCAATACAGTTTAATCGCTAAGATATTTTTTAAATGAAAAAAAAAAAACAATGCTCAGAATAGTGAGTGTGTAGAACTAATAGTTTAGCAAGATCTCAGGACATAAGATCAATACACAGAAATCAGCTGTAGTTCTGTTCACCAGCAATAAAGCAACTAAGTACAATTTACAATAGCATTAAAAAACTGACACTTAGGTATAAATCTAACAAAATATGTGAAGAAGCTGTATGCCGAAAACAATGCAACTGTGATAAAAGAAACCAAAGAAGATGTGGTAGGTGGCCTCTCAGGTGGTCTCCTGCCCTGGTCTTGTGCAATTCCCTCCCCTCGAGTATGAACTGAACTTACTGATACGCTTTTAATGAATAAAAAAATGGCAGACATGATGACTTCTAAGTTGATATTATAAAATGACTTCGACCTCCACATTAGGCTCAGTCTCTCTCGGATCACTCACCCTAGAGGAGGCCAGCTGTCATGCTCTGAGGCAACCCTGTGGAAAGGCCCACATGAGTGAGCTCAGAAGCACGGATTCTGAGGCCTGCCAGTGGCCATGTAGGTAAGGTTGGAAGTTGAGCCTCTCAAGTAGAGCATTAAGATGACTACAGCCTTGTGAGATTCTGAGCTGGAAACATTCAGTTGAGTGGTTTCTAGACTCCTGATCCATAGGTATTTTAACATAATAGATGTTTGTTACTACCAGTCACTAAGTTTTGAGGTAATTCATTATCAGCAATGGGTAACTAATACAGAAGCCCTACATAAATGAAGACAGAGATATAATACGGTCATGGATTGGAAGACCCCATATTGTTAAGATGTCACTTCTCCCCAATTTTATCTATTGATTCAATGCAATCCCACTCAAAATTTCAACAGACTTTTTCATAGATGTGAATGAGCTGACTCTAAAATATAAATAGAAAAGCAAAGTAAGATTGCTACAATGATTTTAAAAAAAGGAAGAATATTGGAGGACTCATACTATATAAAGCTAATCAAGACAGTATGGAATGGGTTAAAGGATAGATGGATATAGATGAATGGAACAGAATCAAGAATCCAAAATAGACCTATATAAATCAGTCAACAGATTTTTTTTAAAAAGTTACAAAGTCAGTTCAACGGAGAAAGGACAATCTTTTCAACATAAGAGCTAGAGTAATTGGATATCCACGTAAAAAAAGAAAAAAAGCATCTCAACCCATAACTCAAAATGGACTGTAGACCTAAAAAACGCAGAACTATAAAGCTTCAAGAAGATAACAAAGAAGGGGTGCCTGGGTGGCTTAGTCGGTTAAGCGTCTGACTTTCGCTTAGGTCATCTCTAGGTTCGTGGGTTTGAGCCCCGCGTCGGGCTCTGTGCTGACTGCCAGCTCAGAGCCTGGAGCCTGTTTCAGAGTCTGTGTCTCCCTCTCTCTCTGACCCTCCCCTGCTCACGCTGTCTCTCTCTCTCCTAGAAATAAATAAAAATATTAAAGAAAAAAAAAGAAGATAACAAAGAAAATCTTTGTACTCTTGGGTAAACAAAGAGTTCCTATGTACAATACCAAAAGCACAAACCACAAAAAAAAAAAATTGATAACCCAGGCTTTGTAAAAAGTTTAAAGTTTCAATCTGTAAAAGGTACTGTTAAGAGAATTAAAAGACCAGAAGAAAATATTTACAAATCACATTTCTCACAGGGGACTTTTTTGTCAGAATATATTTTAAAAACTTTCAAACACTCAACAATAACATGGTAAACAACCCAATAAGATCCTACTTTAAAATGGGAAAAAAGAAGTGCAGAGACACTTCACCAAAGAAGATATACGTGGCTACAAAAACATGAGAGACTCTTAAATATGGAGAACAAACAGAGGGTTGCTGGAGGGGTTTTGGGAGGGGGGATGGGCTAAATGGGTAAGGGGCATTAGGGAATCTACTCTTGAAATCATTGTTATACTACATGCTAACTAACTTGGATGTAAATTTTAAAAAATTAACAAAAAATACACAAAGAAACAAAAACCCCCCCCCCAAAAAAAAAAACAAAGAGAAGATATATGGATGGCTAATAAGTTTGTGGGAAAATGTTCAACTGCATTAGTTGAGATGCAAATATAGTAAAAAGAACATTTACTCTCGGGAGATACTACTACATGCCCAGAGAATGGTTACAATGTTTTTAACTGACCCAAAAATTTTTAAAAAGTATAAAGCCCTTGCTCTACAGGTACCAAGACTTACTATAAATCATTGATTAAGACACTGAGGTATTATTATAAGGGTAAACAAAGAGATAATCAGAGTAGAACAGAGAGCCCAGAAATGGCCCACACATATACGGGTGCCTGATTGTAGAGCAGTGAGCAAATGACAATCTTTTCAGTAAAATGGTACTAGGCTGATGTGTAATCCACAAGAAGAAAGAGGCTTACATTCACAAGTGCTCTGGTTTTCACAAAGAGGATGGTTCTACTCTCTGGGTTTAAGTGGTACTCCTCTTGCAAGATGAAGCAGAGATCCGTGAGTTTCGGGTTCTCATTGCTGGGATCCATAGAAACACTTTCCAGTTCCTGCAGCTTTTCTGCAAAAGGGGAACATTCTATAAGTGGCTTACAAATTCTAGAAATTTAGAACACCATGACCCTTAGCTAGAGTTCAAATAATCTCTCAATCTTTGACCAGAATTTTAAGAGCAATAACCACTACTTTACCATATACATTAAATGTAGCAATAAATGTATACACATTTTTGCCCCAGAGCTGGTTGCTCAATGTTTAGCAGCACACCACTGAGTAACACATATGTATACTAAATACGCCTGTATCAGCCAAAATAAGAGAGAAGGAGAAGAACTACTTTTCATTTAAAATCTTCCTATAGTTTTCTAAATATGAGAGCTGTGGGATTATGGGCCATGTTGATTTTCTTCCTTATAGAAGTACATATAAATTATAATCTCTTTAATACCACTAAATGCTTTTTAAAAAATTTTTAAACCTTTGTAAAATTACTAAAAGTTAAACCCCCCAAAATGCCACTACCTATTATAATTTCTATGGGATGTATCCTTTGCAAATCCTATTTTACTTCTTCTTCAGAAGAAACAATGTAAGCAACAGATTTTTTTCCCTCATATACCAGGTTTCACTGATGCTTAATAGTGCTGCTCTCTACATAGTATCTTCTTGAGCCCAGGACAAGTCCCTGAGCATCACAGCATGCTAAATATAATACAGCGTAAGCTGCCACTGGAGTTACCAGGTCCAAATGGTTTCCTCCTGTGGAAACAACACCCACCTTCAAATCTCTGAGTGAGATCTTGCTCAATCTCATCAAATCCTGCTGCTCGGACTTCAGTGAAGAAGTCTTTCAAGTAATCCAGAGCATCTTTCATTCGTGCATGCTCGTTGATAATGAGGGCATCATTATATTTCTGTTGAAAATGAAAACTGCGTTTCAGTGTGTCTCCAATGCCTAATGCATTCACTGTACTAAAATTCAATTAGCTATACTTAGCATGAGTAAGGGAGGAGCAAAATAAACTCTTCACAAATCTATTCCAACTTAGTTTTTCAAGATGAATGATTTCTAATGGAACTGCAATAAAACCTGTGAACCAAATATTGTTTAAAAAATCTGAATTAGCTAGGATCATTCATTAATTAGGATCATTTTGTATTCTAGAATTCCACCTTAGAAGAGAAAGAGGAAATTACAAGAAAAATACATGTCAAAGATTAAAAAACAAGAGCAAATCAATTCCCACATCAACTTGCCTCATGATTCAGACATTCAACTTAATTTCTTCATACATCCAGAGCCATTACTGAATTGCAACTGCTTCTGTTCAGAATGATGGCACTGAATATTCAATGCCTACACCAAATATTCAGTGAAATTCCTCAAATTCTCTAAATGCATAGAGACTGAGTGCATTTTCAAATACTTTCAACGGCATGATGAGCAGAGGTGATGGTTATTGTGTCTTAACTTCTTGGTTAATCAGTGAGCAACCAAAGACCCTGGATTTCTGAGCATGTGGCTTTGCCAAAGGTAAGACAACGTATGCTCAAGATAAGGTGACAGGAGTCACTTAATGAACTTTCAAGATGGCTGTCACCAATCACGTATCTACAATAACGGTCATCATTCTCTAATTTCTTTCAATCCCGTCAATCACGCCAATGCTAGAGGCATGGCATAGAATCCCAGCCCTTGTTTCCACCCTGTTCCTACTAGTATTAAGTTTCAGTAAGCAGAGAAGATGCTGAATGGGATAACTTTAAAGTCTGCTTCATAGGAACCTCTTGGAAAGTTCCTAAGTGAGTTATTGAAACAGGGTGAAAAGTTGATGTTCTTTTGGCTACAAGAGCAAAGCTCCCAGTTAGATGCTACAACTAAAATATGCCTTTTCAAAGAAGCCACATACCCGCAAATGGGAAGTATATAAAAACAGTGCTTTACAAATCCTGCTCTCTTCATCTTTGTCAGGCAAATGAAGCACCGTGCATGCTTTCTGAACAGTACTGAGCCACTGTTCATATTTCTGTGTTCCAAATTCCCTATTTTGAATTTCAGATATATTTTCTGGAAAAAGAAAAAGGTTTTCATTATTCCATATGGTCAGTCATTTAAAGTTCTAAGCATGCTTTACCCTCTAATTTTCATTTTTTTAATTAAAAAGTATTTTTTAATGTTTATTTTTGAGAGAGAGAGAGAGAGAGAGAGAGAGAGAAAGCATGAGTAGGGGAAGGGCAGAGAGAGAGGGACACACAGAATCTGAAGCAGGATCCAGGCTCTAAGCTGTCAGCACAGAGCCCAACACGGGGCTCAAACTTACAAACTGTGAGATCGTGACCTGAGCCAAAGTTGGACACTTAACTGAGTCACCCAGGTGCCCCTGCCTGCTTTGGATTCTTATCTCCAGCTGCTCCCCTTCCTGCAGGTGACAGGACTAATGGAAGTCCTCATACTCTCTCCACTTTCCTGGCCATCACACATGCTGTTTCCTCTGCCTGAAACACACCTTATCACCACCACCCACCTATCCCCTATACTGTTGTTTTATTATTTCTTATCTAATTTTGGCTTTATACAGTAGACTGGAAATGCCACAGGAAAGAAGCTATGTCTCAGGGTTCACGCTATATTCCTATCACCTGGCATATGGCCTAGGACCAGGTGAATGATCAATGAATGAGCATGTTCAAGGAACTGCTAAATCAAAGGATTCAAGTATGGAAGGAGTGGCAGGTAAAACTGAAAAGATAAGTAGAACCAGGTTGTGCAGGCAGGGCTCAGAATGGCAGGTTAGACGCTTAGAGGCTTTGCTTATAAGGCAGAGAGATTCAAGCAGGATACTGACATGATAAAACTGGTATTTCAGAAATACCAACCAGGTAATGGGGGGGTTGAATGGAAAAGTGAGTAGGGGTGGGGAAACTAGCCAGCCATCAGTCAGAATAAGTCCTAAAGCAAGTTGTGAAAGAAAAGAGGAGGAAAATAAAAAGCAAATTAAGTATGAAAAAAGGTGAACTCACAAATTCAGGATCTCCAGAGCTGCTCCTAGTTGTGGAAGCAGCACTACCCACCAGGTACCTACAAGTGCACAAGCCAGAAGCCTGGCGGAAGTTACCCCCACTCCCATCCAAAGCCAGCAGGCCATGAAATCTGAATACTTCCTGTTTGCAGGGCTCTGCACAAGTCTCTTCCCTCCACCAACCTGTCTTGACGGCCTCTGTTTGGCTCTCTTTGTTCACTGGTATCCTTATCACCTTACCTATCAGTTTAAAATCCTCAGTTGCTTCCCAGTGCTTTTAGGAGAAAGTCAAACTCAGTCCTACCAAGCCTTTCCCCGTATGTCCCTTGCCTGCCTCTTTCTACTCACCTCTTTTCTACTATTCATGTATTACAAGTACCTTGAAATGCTTCCAGTTCCTAAAACATTCTCTTCCTTCAATGCCTGACACTTTTTCAACTTCATTCGATGGTTTCTCTTTCTTAACTTGGCTTCAAGATTTCAAGATTGTCTCAGGCATCACCCCATCCCAGGAAGCTTTCCCTGCAGCCCATTCTAGGCCAAAGTTCCCAACGTGCTCCCATGGCAATGAGTGTGTACTGCTGCCCACATCTGATTCTCATGATTTGACCGTGAGTTCCCTGAGGTTGGGACTATATCTTTAATCTTGCTATTCCCATTAGGTAGCACAATGAATATCTGGTGAATGAATGAAAGAACAGAGGAGAAGAGAACTTTGTGACTTCATGAGAGAGTCTCAGAAGAACAAAGAATCAAAGGTCACCTCCTGTTTCAATGTGAGCCATCAGGGAAATGGTGGTTTCATATAAATAGGGAAGTCAAAACATAAAGCTAATTTGGGAGATTAAGAAAGCCACAAATTGATTTAAATATGGTATTTTTCAGGTATGTACATCAACAGATTTACTTTGGATTAAAAAAAACTGAGAGACTAAAGGAGAAATTATAAGGTTCCTCAATAACCTATAATCAAGAAGGCTAATCTCTTGATATAGTCTTGACACTGTCTGCACTAAAGCGAAAGCAAAAAGACACTAAGTGAATAATACATGGTTATTCTTAACTGGAGACAATACAAAATGAGATTTATCTCACCGAGAGTTATGGTGCCGATTTCACCAAAGATACTCTTTGCCAGATTCTCTGTCTCTCTCATCAGCTGAGATATGATGCATTTAAATCTGTCAGTAGTCCGTGATTCCACTTTCCTGAAAACTAGAGCCATCAGAGTAAAGTATTTTTCAGGAAGAACACATCATAGTTCAAAGTAGGCAGATGCACATCTTTCTCTGCCTCTGTTACTTCTGTAAGACCTGAGGCCCCAAGCTCACAGGGAGGTAGTCTAAATAATATATCAAATGCTCAAAAACCTTGCAATAGCTCCCTATGCTTAATGTACTTAATCTGTGCTTAATGCACAGATTCTAACACCCTTATCTTTCATGGTCTGGGTCTAATCCAACTTCTAACTCTGGTTTTCCTGTTACTCAACTCTACTTTGACAAGGCTGGTATCCATGTTATCTCTGCAATACACCTTTTTAAGCCTCCCTTCTTTGATCTTCTCCTTTCCCACCCAACCCTCAGAAATGTTCACACTGTTCCGAAAATTCATTATTGCACTGTTTCAGCAGAAACTTATTAACTACCTACCATGTGCCATGTTCTGGTGATACACAGTTGAAAAGAACACACTCTGTGGTCCAGAGAGGTCTGTGTTCTTAGGGGAGAAATATACGTAGCCAAATAACCACAGTAAAGTGCTGTAACAATAACTATGTGCAAGGTATCATGGAACACAAAAAAAGAATCTCTAATTCTTCCAAAGGAGGAAATGTTGTGGGGTAAATAGGGGAAGAGGAAAGGAGGAAGCACACAACGCACTTGAGGAGCCCAGAGGAATGCAACATGGTTGGGCTATGGGGGGGGGGGGAGACGAAGCATAGAGGTAGGGGGACTGGATTATAAAGAAATTTGTACTTGATACTAAAAAGTTTAGATTAGGTACCTTCCTTAAACTGCTTAAAGGCAGGTCCCAGAAGGGAACTTAACTGCCCCTCTCTGGCTATTTCATATCTGTTTATTCTGCCTTATATAGTCATATACTATCCCCAGAGCAAGGAGAAAGGCATATATGTCTCTTCTTCCTCTTTCCCTTGTTGGGTTAGTATAGCACTGGAATTTAATAAACATTTGCCAGTCAAATCTTTTTTTATTTTTTTTTTACTTTTTTTTTTAATTTTTAATATTTTATTTATTTCTGAGAGAGAGAGAGAGAGACAGTGTGAGCAGGGGAGGGTCAGAGAGAGAGGGAGACACAGAATCCGAAACAGGCTCCAGGCTCCGAGCTGGCAGTCAGCACACAGCCCGACGTGGGGCTCGAACCCACGAACCGTGAGATCATGACCTAAGCAAAAGTCGGATGCTCAACCGACTGAGCCACCCAGGCGCCCCTATTTTTTACTTTTTTAACATTTTATTTATTTCCGAGAGAGAGAGAGACAGCGTGAGCAGGGGAGGGTCAGAAAGAGAGGGGGAGACACAGAATCTGAAACAGGCTCCAGGCTCTGAGCTAGCTGTCAGCACAGAGCCCAATGTGGGGCTCGAACCCATCAACTGTGAGATCATGATCTGAGCCGAAGTCAGCTGCCCAACTGACTGAGCCACTCAGGCGCCCCTCAAATCTTTTTTTTTTTTAAATCATATTCTGATCTGCTGGGGAAAAATATGATGAATTCAGATTAGCTTCATTTCAACCCAAATCATCAGATCCATACTCAATAATGAATGACCACACAGTCACCTCCTCAGGCATGCATTGCAGGGAAGGGCTGAGCCCAGTTCTTAATGCTGTGATTTTTCTCATCATCTCTCATTGTTAGCATCTTTATAAGAACCTTATCAAAAACACAGCAAAATGAAAAAAAGAATTTTATCAAACTGAAGAGTAAAAATATTTAATTTAGGAGAGTCCACTCCTGAGGTTTATCCACTGCCTGGGGATACAGCTTAGCTGAGGAGAGAGGCGTGAAACTTAATTATTTAACCCCAAGTTTGGGGTAAAGTATTTTCTACTAAATGGAAAAGGTATAAATTCAGTATTCATCCAAATGGCTCTGAACTAGGAAACATAGAGGGTAACAAAGTCCTAAAGAGCATGATACGGAATTCCACTTACACTTTTGGGGCTTATAAACAATTTCTTCCAGTTCTTCCAAGTTGTCTTTGACTGTTGCTATCACTGATGTGTCAAGAGAAGCACACAGTCTGCAGATATATTCCACGGCTTCTGTTGTGTCTTTGGCATCCCCAATGCCAACTGAGGCAGTCAGCCCAATGACCTATGGGGAATATTGCAAATCATTAGTTGTCTGAGAAACCTGCATACCATTTGCACAATTCCACATGCAACTCTTTCCTGCTAAAGTCAGGGTTTGTTTTTTTTGTTTTTGTTTTTACTAATTTCAGAAAAACAGTATTTATTTATTTTTTTCTGATATTCCCCATGACATTGCAAATGTAAAGGTCCCCATTAGGCTAAACATTGAATAAATGCAGGAACCACAACTCATAAGATGAACACGAATCAGCAAAGAAACCAAGAGCAGAAACCCTTTCAAGGAAGGACTTGTCTACTCTTGTGCCCCCCTATAATGTGTAGAACAACATACTGAACAGAAAGGGACTGAAATCAGACACAATTCCATTCTAAACTCAACCATGTCACACTGGCTGTGTGTCCCTGAACAAGTATCTTCAGCTCTCTTTAAAACTTGGGAAACTTGGGAAACAATAGCCATTTAAAATGGTAGTTGTGTGAATTCAGTAAGATAAGATTTGTAAAAATTTAGCTTAATGGTCACCTAATCATTTAAATTCTACTCAAATAGCCACTCAGTAAATATTGAATAACTGACTCATTAGCAAGATATCTAGTTAGCCACCAATTTTTTTCTAGAAGAAGCTTTCAGAATTGTGATTCCTGGAGTGCCTTGGTGGCTCAGTTGGTAAAGCATCTGACCTCGGCTCAGGTCATGATCTCACAGTTTGTGGATTCGAGCCTGCAATGGGCCCTGTGTTGACAGCTAGCTCAGAGCCTCGAGCCTGTTTCAGATTCTGTGTCTCCCTCTCTCTCTGACTGACAGAGAGAGTCAGTCTTTTTTTAAAAAAGAAAAAAAGAAAAAGAAACGTGATTCCTACTGAATTCTGTCTATGGGTACAGGCTGAATTTCTTTTAACCTGTGCTTCCTAAACAGGTAGTTATTAGGGCTAGAGAGCTTTATACAATGTGATACTGGTATACCAGGCACCCTGAGTTCCCTCTTCCATTCCCATCTTGATTATTCTCAGCAAATAATCTGCCTCTCCTACATTTAAAAGAAAAGATAGATTAAATGCCAAGGATTCCTCACTTTTCCTGTCCCGATCTAAGAACTACCCTTTGTCTTAACTCCTCTCACACCCTCACCTCTGATGACACCAAAAATGGTGTCCCATCTACTCTCCCAGACTAATGCATGTACGTGTCTACTTATCGCATAACCTCTGGTCTCCCCTGACATTCTGTTCTATCAGTCATTCCCTCTATCCCCACTCTGCCTCACCTACTGCTATTTACTACTTCACATTCTACATTCAAATGATGTTGAAGAGCTTCACGGTTCTTCACTCTTGGGCACACCATGTTCTCTCATACCTCTGTGCCTTTGGACACACAGCAGACTTTCCTGAAGACCATCCAGCTATCTAATTTGTACCCTCTTGTTAGGTTTTGCCTAACTTCTGTTGGGTCTTGCCTTACTTTCACAGCACGGCTTCTCTTCTGTTCTGACTACACCTTGCACCCATCTCCAGAGTGTGCCATCACCATACATTATGACATAGTTCATAGATGTTTGGCTTCCCATGAAACTTAAACTGTTTGAGGGCAAGGACTATGTCTTTTTATATTTGTATCCCCAGTGCCTAGCACAGTGCGGGGGGGGGGGTGCCGGCGTGGGCTGAGGCATCTTTAAGTGAATAAATGAATCAATCCATCAAAATTAATCATGAGCTATACAATATGGATTTAGCACCTGAAAAGAACATCCTTAATATGGTCCTAAGAATAACTAAATAGGAATTAGGAAGGTTACAGCTCTTCTGAGGAATCCATCTGAATCTAGAAATACCTGAGGCAGTGGGTCTGAAGATCCTCCAAGTTTCTGATCTAGATAATTAAACATGATCATATTATAAGGATGCTGTTTCCCAGTGTTGTGACATTCATCAAATATCATCAAAGTAAAGACAGAGAGTGATGGAATAGTCCCATTTTTAAGGCTATTCACAAGAATCTGTGGAGTTAAAACGATGATGTCATTGTTCTCAACAATATGTTTCACTGAGACATTCTCAGACGTTGCTCCAGAAACACCTGCAACTTTGTACCTGGGAAACAACAGAAATCCCCTATTACCAACCACAATGTGAATGAGGAACCACAAAAATATGAAACACTAGATCAGAGCATCAATTGATTAAGCTCTCCTAACTCGGAAAGGAATCCAGAAACAAGTGCTTAGCACAGAACCTTACACACAGTTAATGATCAATAAATGCAAACTGGTTATAACTGTCGCTAGTATATATTAATTCTTTCAAGTCATTAAGAAAGAAAATACTACTTAAAAGAGTAATATTAAATAAATTATGAAATCATTAAAAAGTTAAATGTGCCCTTTAAATGTAAACTTTATCTCCGGTCATTTTTTTAAAATTTTTTTAGTGTTTTATTTATTTTTGAAAGAGAGATAGAAACAGCATGAGCAGGGGAGGGTCAGAGAGAGAGGGAGACACAGAATCCGAAGACAGGCTCCAGGCTCTGAGCTAGCTGTCAGAGCCCGACATGGGGCTCGAACCCACTAACCGTGAGATCATGACCTGAGCTGAAGTCAGATGCTTAACTGACTGAGCCACCCAGGCGCCCCTCTCCGGTCATTTACTCACTCTGTAAAAGCTAGCCAAAGGAGTTTAGGATTTCAAGTGTAGCTCACAAAATAGACTTGAATCCATAAAAAATTAATTATATCCAGATTATATAAAAGCTAAATCTACTATACATTTTTGAATCATGGTTTTCCCAAAACTAAACAAAGCTGAAAACACACCTGTTACATGAAACTAGAGGAAGAGAAACAGGACCAACTGTTATACCTACCCAAGTCTTTCAAAATAGTTTGAGAACACGGATTTCTGCTGTTCATACACTGGGAGTTGAATAGCAAAAAAGACGACCTTCCCCTTTTGTCCTTGAGGAAATTTTTTAAGATGATGTTCACATATAAGAAGTGAAACAAAGGTTTTTCCACAACCTTTTCACATACAAAGAAAAAGAAAACGTGTAACTAATATTATACTAAAATATTTCTGTACAAATGTGACAACTGTTGTGTCCCCTCAAACCACCACAATGACTGGTAAACTGGGAATGTGGATGGGTTAACAGGGGCAGAATTTACACCAGGACAGGAAAATATCAAGCTGCTTCCTAGGTAACATGTAAATAAATAGTCATGGCATAAAGTAACCTAAAAGAGGGAATTTTTCTTTGCCTCCTCATGTTCCTTAAAATACCTGGAGACTATATTACCAGGACAGTCTTCTCAAAAGACATATGGACTAAGGAAAATATTGACCCTCACCCATTTTGTCCCAGTATTCAATAAAAGACAAAAAAAGGGAAGCAAAGACAAAAGCAAACCACGTAAGTAGTGGCAATCAGCTTACCAGTAGGAGCACATATTATTGAGTTTTTGCCTTCCTTAGCAGGGAAAGCGAGCTCTAGTTGGTAATTTCTTGGCTTCACTGGAGTGTAAATATGAGAGACTTCTGTAATACAAAGGGAACAAAATTTCCAAGTAATTACTGCTCTGAGGAATCGAGGAAATAGCTATCTATCATCAAATAGACAGGAATTCTGACTTTAGCAAGAAGGACCTCATTTGAGAAAATGTAGAATCCTTGCCTCTTGTTAACCATTCTAGCATCTCCATTGATGTGAAGTACAGAATCCTCCCTCAATGACAAAGCACCAATGGCGAGAGTTTTTTGTTTTTGTTTTAAAGCCACAAAGATTTCTTTCTTAAACGATCTTCAAGTCTAGTAAGGAAAAAACTAAAGCAAGAATGGCCTAATTCAGAGCAAGCAGATGGCCACTGGTTAAAGGAAATGCTATATGGAACAAAACAACAAATCCCTTCAAGACCTCTAAAAAGAAACTGTAAACACTGAATTCCCAAAGCAATTTCATATTGATGAGCAACCATTCTTTATTATTCTTCAGGCTCTCACATGGTATCATCTCTCAACAGAACCAGAAGTTCCAAAAAATAACCAGAGGCTTTTTCTCACTAACAGATAAACATATAGAATGTTACTGCTAGAAAAGACCACTGAAATTATCTATTGACTCCAACCTATTTTAAAGAAAATGAAAATTTCTAAAAGGTTAAGGGCCTTTACATGTCAGAAAAATTTAAAGCAACTTACATTCATTGATTTTATTCTGAAATGTCAGAAAACTTGTATCATTCAGTGCAAAAGTAATCTGTAAATTTTCTAGTAGTGTTAGTCCCAAATCACACTTTTCTTCTAACACTACTTAATGTTAATCAGAATTTCTTCCCTGGGATGCGTGGGTGGCTCAGTCGGTTAAGCATCTAACTACAGTTCAGGTCATGATCTCCCAGTTTGTGAGATCGAGCCCCACATCAGGCTCACTGCTGTTAGTTCAGAGCCCGCTTCGGATCCTCTGTCCCCCTCTCTGCCCCTCCCTATCTTGCATTGTCTCAAAAATAAAAATTTTTTTAAGACTATGATTTTTGGCACTGGAAGACATGTCCCTACACAAAATATCTGATGAACAGCATTATGGAAAAGAACAGTGTTGGGTACCTGAAGATGGACATGAGTTCTGACTAAGATTCTGGCATTCAGATTCTTCTTTGTAGAAAATCTGTATTTCAGAAGTTTCCATTTCATCATCCTCAAGAACTTTCACTTCAATATTCTTTGCATCTGTATGAGACCAAAAAACACCTTAGAAACTTCATCTAATCTGATTATTGTCTTGACAGCACAAGTCCTACATAATACTCCTAATACTCCTAATACTAAAATTTTCAACTTCTGTTAAGATTTTGCACAACCACTTGCTTCACCTTCTAAAACAATTAAAAAAATCTTTTTGAGTTTGATGTCTCTATTTGGAGTCTGAACTCCAATGTCATTTAAGACTTTATTATTCAAAGTGTGGAACATGAGCCAGCAACTTCCAGAGCTTGTTAGAAATGCAGGCTCTTGAGTCCCTACTAAATCAGAATCTGCATTTTAACAAAATCCCTAGATGATTCTCATGCACATTAGAGTAGCAATATTTAGCAGATATTTATGTCTTCCATTCTTGACCTAACCCAAGAAATCAGATGTGTATTTATATAGACATTTTCCAGAACACCATGTGACTTAAAGAAGCCTATGAAAAGCAAAGAGCAGACACTCAGATGGTTTCGCCAAACTCAGCCTTTAAAACAATGCTCTGAGAAGACGTTAGCTTCAGGAAACCACATGATGGCACAGAAATTTCATCACAACTCATTCTTTTTTTCAGTCCTGTTCTGGCTTAGTTCCTGATGGCTCCCAGGCAAGACAACCAGGCTATGTCTATTATGATTCTTGCTCTGAAAAGCGAGCAAGCCTTCGAGTTTGAAAGCTATTTCTCTGATAATCTAAACTCAGAGAGTGAGTTCAGACTCTGCCTTCCCCAGATCCTTTGGACCAGACGGGCTAATCCTGGATGAGAGCAGTATGCCCTGGTTAGTTTTAGGGGTTAGACACAACTGAATTACTTCTGCAGGCAAGTAGCCACTTCCCTCCCAGAATTCAACTCACAGCTGCTCTCTCTCTCTAGAGATGTAGCCATGGGTCTCTGAAGGGTAAAATGCCTATGACAGTGAGTGAAAAATAGGAAGGAATGAAACAGGCCCTAAGTAGAACCACAAGAAGGGTAGAGCATGTTTTCAGACCTTCCCACCCTTCAGAGCTCTTCCCTGGAATATCCCACCTTTGTCCACAATCCAGAGTTCACTGAACTTGCTCTCTTCTCTCTCCAAAGCAAGTTTCAAAGTTTTGGGCCAGTTTTCCTTGTCCGATCTGAGAAAGCATTCAACCATCTTCTCTGCACCTGCCATCAACCCCTTGTTGGAACACACCTAAGCAAGACAACTGCTGTTGATCAGTCAATCATTTCAAAAGTTTTCCTTTTATGAGTTTTTACTGAAGAAATAGCCATTCAAGCACTGATTTAAAATCATTGTATAATATGGTTCAATGGGTCTGATTCCTGACCATGTTTGCCCCATCCAACATGGTGCCTTTTAAGACACTCTTTCCTTTGTCCTTGTTACACATGGTATCACTATGTCAAGCCAGGTGTTCTCACCTTTTTGGAGACCTTGTATCTATCAGCAGAAGCAATGTTAGGAAACAATCCATTTGACAACCATTCAAAACATGAGTACACTGGCATAAAGAGATATTTGGAAAAATATAACAAAATATTAACAAATGGTTTTTTTCAGGGCAAATGTGATCTATATGATTTTTATTATTAATCATAATTAAAATGTATTGAGCACCTATGATTATATGCCAGGTATATGTAAGCACATATATATATTATCTCATTTAATCCTTATAAAAATATTATGCTAATTAGGTACTATATTTCCATTTTATACATCAAGAAACAGAGGTTTAGAGAAACTAAATAACTTGCCTAAGATCATACCACAAATAGACAGGTGTACTAGGATTCTAACAAAATTTGTGTCCAAAGCGTGAATGCTTAACCACTAAACTCTATAGTTTTTCTTTTTATTTGCTAAACTGTTCAACTTTATTTAAATTTGCATAAAACATTATTTGCAAAAGTAGTAACAATTTTAACTGAAAATAGGATAAGCCTGAAAAACTTGTGACATTAAAAATTATTCAGTTCACAACTAAAAATACTATTCTAGGTAATTATGCCTTATATTTGAGGACTTTTGTGGATTTCAGTGATCTTTCTCGGGTCTAAATCAGTGGAGAAAACAGAATACATTTCCCATGTTCAAATTACTTCCCCCAAATTCAGTATTTTATATTATATTAAATTAATTCTAATTAATTAATTATAGTAATTATAGTAATTAAATTACCTGCATAATTTCTTCACACTCCTGACTAATTAAACATTTAGATACTTCAGGAAGGATATCTTTTGGATTAACTGTAGTTTTAAATTCTGGTTGTAAACGCTTTAAAAGTGATCTATACTCCTCCAACCTTTCAATTTTTTGGAAATCCCAACTTTCAATGGCTTCATGAAGTCCAGAATAACCTGAAAAGAAGAAAAAGGGGGCTTTTATGAAACCAACTAAAAGATATTTGAAGATTAACATCATATGATCATGTTTGAATGTACAGTGAGAGAACACAAAAGATACCTGTAAGCCACCTGAATAATTAATAATCTTTCAAAAAGAAAACTCAATATTCATTTCAGGCACCCAACATTTTATTTAGGTCCTCTAAAAATATTTATCATCTCTTAGGAGAAAGTGCGAAGGATAATGTGAAGTCTTAACATTTGGTTTTAGTATAAAATCTTCCCTCCAAAGTGTGCCTTGGATTTCAGCTACAACCTCTGACTCCTCTTCCAAGGAGTCAAAACATCATACAATTATTAAGTATCTTCCCAGTGCAATTGTTAACAATTTTAACAACTGTTAAGATTTTGCCTTTTGGAATTACGTCTTTAATTCTCGTGGATTCATTTTGTGTGTATACGTGAATGGAATGAGCTAAGGAATACAAATTTATTCTACATGGGTACGCAGGTTAGGGTTTGTTTGGTTTTTAACATTATCCTGTCTATAACAGCACACTGCAATTTATTAAAAGCCCCTCCATTACTAACCATCCTCCCTTCCAAGTGATCTCAAATATATCAGGTTTTCATAAATACAGGAATTTAATTGAAGGCTCTTTATTTCATTGGTCAGTTGGTCAATGCCAGGACCAACATTAAGCTGTCTTAGTGCCTATGGCTCTAAAATAAATTTTGTTATCTAGAAGGGGAAACTCCAGACTATTTAATTCTTCTTTAGGAATGTCCTGTCTATTCTTAGATCATAATTCTTCCATTGACATTTTAGAATCATTTAGAAATTTGTCAAGTGCATGAAAAAGCATGTAGTATTTTTTTTTAATTTTTTCATGATTTATTTATTTATTTATTTATTTATTTATTTATTTATTATTTCTAGGAGAGAGAGAGAGACAGGGTGAGCAGGGGAGTGTCAGAGAGAGAGCCTCTGAAACAGGCTCCAGGCTCTGGGCTGGCAGTCAGCACAGAGCCCGACACCTCGAACTCAAGAACCATGAGATCATGACCCAAGCGAAAGTCAGACGCTTAACCGACGAAGCCACCCAAGGCGCCCCAAGCATGTAGTATTTTTATTAAACTGTATTGAGTATAACACTTGATCTTAGCCAAAAGGCCAAGAAGCAATAATAATTGTAGTGAATACAAATATCAATGTTGAGAGAGCTGATATTTTTATGGTATCAAGTCTTCCTTTCAATGTGCATGGGTATATATCTCCACTTCAATAGGACTCCTTTAATATGTTTCAATAACACTTCTATCATTTTCTCCATTCAGACTTTACACATCTTCTGCTAGGTTTTTCCCTAAATACATTACTCCTTTTGTGACTGTTGTAAAAATACCATTTTGTACACATTTTCTGGTTGCTTCTGGTGGGTAGAAATGCAACTAATTTTTATGCTTTATTTATTTTTATTCCAGTAAAATTAACATAGTGTTAAATTAGTTTCAGGTGTGTAACATAATGATTCAATAATTTTATACATTACTCAGTGCTTATCACAGTAAGTGTATTCTTGATCCCCTTTATCTGTTTCACCCACCTCCGTACCCACTTCCCCTCTAGCAACCACTAATTTGTTCTCTATTTCTAGGAGTCTACTTTTTCGTTTATCTTTTTTCTTTGTTCATTTTGTTTCTTAAATTCCCCATATGAGTGAAATCATATGCTATTTGTCTTTCTCTGCCTGACTTATTTCACTTAGCATTATATCCTATAGATCCATATATGTTGTTGCAAATGGCAAGATTTCTTTCTTTTTATGGCTAATATTTCATAGTATATATATTACATCTTTATCCATTCATCTATGGATGGACACGGGTTGCTTCCATATCTTGGCTATTGTAAATGATGCTGCAATAAACACAGGGGTGCATATACCCCTTTGAATTAATGTTTTTGTTTTCTTTGGGGAAATAATAGTGAAATTATAGGATCATATGGTAATTCTATTTTTAATATTTGGGGAACTTCTATACTGTTTTCCACAGTGGCTGAACCAGTTTGTATTACCACTAACAGTGCACTAGGGTTCTTTTATCCTCCATATCTTCGCCAATAATTATTATTTCTTGCATTTTTTATTTTGGCCAATCTGACAGATGTGAAGGGATATCTCATTGTGGTTTGATTTGCATTTCTTTGATAATGAGTGATGTTGAGCATATTTCCATGTGTCTGTTGGCCATCTGGCTATCTTTGGAAAAATGTCTATTCACATCTTTTGCCCATTCTTTAATTGAATTTTTGGGGGGTTTTGATGTTGAGTTGTAGAAATTCTTCATATATTTTGGATATTAACCCCTTATTGGATATGTCATTTGCAAATATCTTCTCCCATTCAGTAGGTTGTCTTTTTGCTTCCTTGACAGTTTCTTTTGCAGTGCAAAAAAAAGCTTTTTATTTGGTGTAGTCTCAATAGTTTAATTTTGCTTTTATTTCCCTTGCCAAAGGAGACAAATCTAGAAAAATATTTCTATGGCTGATGTCAGAGAAATTACTGCCTATGTTTTCTTCTAGGAATTTTATGCTTTCAGGTCTTCCATTTAAGTTTTTAATCCAATTTGGGTTCATTTTTGTGTATGGTGCAGAAATGCAACTAATTTTTGTATACCGATCTTATATCCAATACACTTGCCCAATAATAAACTCTCACAATAATCACCCTGTAGCTTCCCCTGGATATTTCAGGTGGGCAATTATACTATCTGACTGAAAATAATCTTTACATTGCTTCAGATTAAGAGGTAGGAAGTTCATGTGGATAGCTCAAAGGTAATAGCATTTCACTTTTACAGCATTTTGTAACAGTCAAGTAATATACTCTGATTTGTAAATAAGGAGAATGAACTAACCTGTGTGAGCAAGGGCATCCAAAAAGCCACGGAACCAGCCTTCTTCCTGCAACTCCAATAGGAGCTTAAGAAAAAGTGAGGCAGCCTCCATCGTGCCTTTATTGTTTTTCTCAGCCTGAATATACTGCACCTCATCTACAAACAGAAGCAAGAGTGACTCATCAAACTGCAGAACCACTAATCACTGGAAGAAAAACCTACAAAAGGTTACCAGACCTTCTCAAATGGGGATGGTGATTTTAACAAATCACAGTAATGGAAGGCAAGAAGGCAGCAAATTCTCTGTTCAGGCTGAGTATGCCCTTTCTTCACCAACTAAGTCCACCCTCCCATCCACTCTAGAAACTTCTTCTAGTTTGGTATGGAAGTCTGGGAACATGCTCTAAAGCAATCTGTTAAAAAGGGAGTTTCTTAACAATGTGTGAGAAAGCATCCCCACAACAGAGGATTAATCATTATAAAGGACTGGATTAGACTGAAAAACAAAGGCTTCTTCCAACATTTTGATAATCTCTTGTTCAAAAGTCTGAGTTAATTGTAGGACTAAAAGAGTGTGAAGAAAGGACCACTCCATGGCATCTTCAATTACACTGGACTCAGAAAGCCGAGTTAGAAATAGATATTTTCATGGTCCTCTTTCTAGGTTTTTGCTTGGACGGCATGAAATATGGCAGAAAAGAAAAACGCAAGAGGAGCTAAACAGAATCCCAGTGAGACCAGGTAGCAGAAAACTATCCACCCAACTACTGGTGGTCTTGCTAACTTTGTACATGAACTCCATGTCTGGGGTAGTGACCAAATGGTTGCCTTCATATGACCTGACATTTGATAATGTCCCCCCCCCCCCCCGCCGCCAACCCATTGTCAGTGGCACGTAAATTCCAAGAAATAAACCAGTTGTCTGACTGGTTAACCACTGTATTCTCAGAGATTAGAAGAGGACCCAGCACATAATAGATACTGAATGAATGAAGAAAGGAAAGGATAGCCTCCTTCTCTGCCAAGGTTTCTGCCTTGGGAACAATAAAATTAACACTTTCAACATGCAAAATCCAATGGTTTTTAGAGTTATGGATCCATCTCTACTATCTAATGTTAGTACACTATGAATAGTAAAGAGAAATCTTATACAAGTCACTCCCATCTCCCTTCCTCTTTACCCCAGGTAACCATTAATCTACTTGGGTGTCTATAGATTTGCCTACTTTGAAGATTTTATATGAATGAAATCATACAATATGTGGTCTTTGTAACTGGGTTCTCCCACTTAAGCATAATGTTTTCAATATACATCCATGTTGTAGCTTGTATCATTCATTCCTTTTTATTGCTGAATAATATTCTATTGTGTGGATATACTACCTGTTGTCTATCCATTCATCAGTTAATGAGCATTTAGGTTGTTTCTAATTTTGGTAATTTTGGCTATTATGAATAGCAATACAAGTGTTTATGTAGACATAGGTATTCCCTTCTCTTGAGTTTATACCCACGTGTGAGATAGCTGGATCATATGGTAACTCCATTTAACACTGTAAGGAATTATCAAACTGCTCTCCAAAGGACCTATTCCATTTTACATTCCCACCAGCAATGGATGAGGATTCCATTTTTTTTTTTTTTTACATATCCTTCCCAACACTTCTGTTTTTTATTTTACCTATCTCTAATAGTTTATTGTGGCTACAATAACAACTTAGCACTAATTGGTGGCCTTCAAACAATAGAAACTTATTCTCTTACAGTATTAGAGACCAGAAGTCTGAAATCAAGACGTTGGCAGGGCCACACTTCCTTTGAAGGCTCTAAGAGACAATACACCCCTCTTCCCTTCCAGCTCCTAGTGGCTGTTAGCATTCTGTGGTTTGTGGCCACATCACTCCAATCTCTGCCTCTGTCTTCACATGACATTCTCTTTGTCTCTCTGTGTCTTCACGTGGCTATCTTCTTATGAAGACACCAATCACACTGATTAGGATCCCACCCTACCCCAGCATGTCCTCATCTTAACTACCTCTATAAAGATCCTATTTCCAAATAAGCTCACATTCTGAGGTAGTGGGGTTAGGATTTCAACCTAACTTTTGGTTGAAAAAGTTATCTTTTTTTAGGGACAACACAATTCAACCCATAACATCCACCTATCTTGTCACCTACCCCAAATTCTCTGGGCACACAACTGTACCCTATTCCTTTGAGATAGTTAATCCTGTTCCTAGACCTCATCCTTGGAGCTGGGTTCTTACTCCCAGGCCTCCCTGTTGTTCGTTCTTTCCATAGGCATGCCACCAGCCATGACTGACACTTTGTATGAACGTCCAGCCACAGCTGAAACCTTCCCAGGGAAACTGCCTTGCTGCATCCTGGGGAGATGAGCATCACTCTGCATGAGGTCAGTCCCATCCTGCTGCTACCTAGCCCAGATATCTCCTACTGACGAGTCTACTTTTCTCAAAAGCACTGGGGGTTCAATGCAGGCAAAATTCTACTTTTGGCCCTCAGTATTTCCTACTACCTTTGCCATCCTGGCCACTCTGTGATGCCATACTCAGTTTCTCAAGGTAGCATTTCTTGATCTCTTTTCTATGCTTTCTTGGTCTCTTTACAGGCCGCTGACTAAACCACTGGCTTCACATAGTATATAGTAACTGCCTGAGGGTCTATCTTTTCCCATTGACAGTGATCATGGACATGCTGTATCCATTTTTACCTTCATCTTTGTATTCAAATCATCAGCAAAGTCTGGTTCATGTACGGTCCAGAAAATGTTCCTGAATGGGTAAATACTCAGAATACTGCTCATCAAGGGCTCCTCCAAGATAAGAGCTAGTCTTAGACTCCAAAAGGCTATTGCAAAAAATGTGTAGCCCACAACCTAGTCTACCTTGAAACATCCTGGACAACCGGTGAATCGCAAAGCCCTGAAGGACCCTAGTGACTATGCAAGCTCTCCAGAAGAAACATGGCTTCAAATCTCCTTTCTCAAGATTCAACTAGTGTACAGTATCCAACATGTAGAGACAAAGATTATGGTAAAAGAGAGACTAGATATTCCTGGTGTAATTTAAACATATTGATGTATCTGTGTGTGCATGGGGAATGATTTTGGAGGCATAAGGAGAGTGTGGATAAGCTCCCACTTATGGGGGGGTGGGGGAGGAATGAGTCAAAAAGTTTATATCCAGCCATAACACTCATGTCTCAGCTCTCTGACTGAATCCTGATAGAGTACACTCGTCACAAGTAAACTTTTTTCTTTCTTCTCATCTTTTTCTGTTTTCTGTTAGATTGATAAAGTTTCTCTTTCCCTATTTTTTTTTCTTGGATGCTTTGAAATCTCTGGATTCTATATTGGTTAACCAATATATCAAAAAATAGGGATAGAGAAACTTTATCAATCTAACAGAAAACAGAAAAAGATGAGAAGAAAAAAGTTTACAGATACATGTGCACATGATAAAGTATAAAGAAATGAACAGGATAAACTAGTCAAATGATATCAGTTGCCCTTGGTAAGAAGCTGGAAATAAAACTTCTATTGTATCTTTAACACTCAAAAATAAGACATAGTTATGCATAGTGTTCTTTAGCTAGCTTTTTCTATTTCCCTTTAGGTATTTTTGCTGTGATTACATTATAACTACGAATTAAAACTAATATATATATTAAAAACTATGCTGCCTATGTGCTCCCATAACACACTATGGTTTTCCATCAGAGCACTTACATTTTATCATTTATGGTGTATTTATTTAGTAATGTGCCTTCGTGTATGTATGCACTCTTATCTCTGTTAGGGAAGGATCAGTTCTATCACACTCACCACTGATTTCTCAGTTCTTAGCATGATGCTTCCTATTAGATAATATGTGTAGTAAGTGTATGTAAATTCTCTCCAGTACTAGCATATTGCCTAACATATATGAGTTGTTCATTGAATGGACACACAGTGCAAGAAAAGAATGGGATTCACACCAGTTAGTGAGTGTTTCATTTATTCCAAGATTTCTAAAAGAGATTCTTGCAGGGGCTTATATTCTTCAGAGGCCCAAGCTACTCTGTGGTTCATTAGGATGTTACTTTGTTACTTCTCCCTGGGCACAACTAGAGAGCAGAAGTCTACTTTTGTTAGTGGTATTCTTTCACTCCTCACTCCACAGCCCCCACGGTTTTGCAGAGAAATCAGCACTTAAATTACCTGTCTGCTTGCAGGACATCTCCCAAAACTGCCTCACATCAGGAAAGCTATTTTGGCACTTGGAGCCGGAAAAGGAGTTGCCAGATCCCCTCTCTCATCTCAACTCCTTCTAGGCACCACCTCCCTTTTCCTCTTTCTTCAAAGCCTCTGCTCATCTCCCATACAGTGCACTTGGATGCAAATTTACAATATGGCATTCATCCATCATCACCGGTCTCAAAAGCTAGACAGAAACACCTGAATGGAAGCCTACACCCATTCAGTCCAGAGTCTTGCTTCTCTCAAGCTTCCAGTCAATTGTAAGCACAAGTAAGACACAGCAAGAGTAAAGGTCAAATACTTTGCAGTTCTCATAGCATTGTCATCATTTGTGTACATCTGTCCTCACCAGTCTCCCACCCCCAAAATCTTTTTTAAGAAGCACCAAAATCTAATTTCTTAATTTCAATGTCAGTACAAAGCTGAAGACACATTAGACATAACCATTAGAGGAAATACTTGAAGTGGACAATGATATGTTTCTCCAGCTTTGAACCTGAATAGATGTGCACCACTACACAGGGCAGATCACTTCTCTGGGACTCAGTTCCCCATCTGGACCTCCAAAGACTCCTCTTGGCTAGCTCTAGTCTTAAATGTGGTGGGAATTTAAGAAACAGAACAGACATCGGGGAAGGGAAGGAAAAATAATATAAAAACAGAGAGGGAGGCAAACCATAAGAGTTAATACAGAGAACAAACAGGGTTGCTGGAGGGGTGTTGGGTGGGGGGATGAGCTAAATCTGTGATGGGCATTAAGGAGGGCACTTGTTGGGATGAGCATTGGGTGTTATCCGTAAGTGATTAATCACTAAATTCTACTCCTGAAATTATTATTGCACTATATGTTAACTGACTTGGATTAAATAAAATTAAAAAAATTTTTTTAAAATAATTTCTTTAAATGCTGTGGGGATCTGGTTCCTAGCTGGCTACATGTATTGATTAAAAGAAAGGGGGGAAAAAGGCAAGAGAAAAACAAGTTCTAAATTGTTTCCTTGCTTCAAGGGGCTAGTGCCGCTGGGGACAACTCACCGTCCTTAAACCAGGGGGACAGGTAGCTCAGGATATAGGTAGGGTCCAGAATCTTGATGACATAGTCCTGGAAGGCGTGCAGATTCCTCCTCTCCTCCGCCGTCATGCTGGTGGCTCAGCTCCCAGCGCGGTGCCACCTCGACCGCGCCTCACTCCCTTTTAAAGCCCAGCAGCGGCCGGACGGATTTTCTGAGAAGGTATCTTGGCCCAGCGGAGAGGCGGAGCCACCGGGGAACCGAAAATGCAGAAGGGAAATGGAAACGGAAACTGAAACCGGAAACCGAAACCGCAACTAGCGGTGGGTGGACCGGCCGGCGGGTCGTGCGGCGTGGCGGGCAGCTCCCTGAACCCGGGTCGCTGCCTCCCCAACCGCACGTATTCCTAAGGTTTGCCAACCTGCAGGTACGTGCTCGCTCAACCCGGAGGGACAGAGGAGGACCCGTAGGAACTTTTTTTCATTCTTGTATAGCAGTAAAGTTTCGATTCAATAAAATGCACAGATTTTAAGTGTGTAATTCCATGAGCTTTGGAAAATGTATGTGTTAACTGCTTCCCCCAGGTTGTGTAGGTCCTAAGTGCATATTTAACCTAACCGGTATCTCCCAGCTGTTCTCCAAACCGGATACACCATTTTGCATTCCCACAGGTAGAGTGAGAGAGCTCCAGTGGATACACATTGGTCAATTTGCCATCCTGGTCAGTGTGAAATGGTGTATTATTGTGGTTTTAACTCCTCAAATAGTTAATGATGTGAGCACATTTGCACGTACCTATTGGCCAATTACATGTCTTCTTTTGTGAGGCATTTGTTCCCATCGTTTGCCTGAGACGTATTATTTTCTTTGTATTATAAATTTACAAGTTATTTATTCTAGATAAAAGCCCACTGTCAAATATATGTATTTCAAATATCTTCTCCTAGTCTGTGACCAACCATTTCATTTTCTTAAAGGTGTCTTTCAAGCAAGTGTGAAATGATATAAAGAAAGCAAATAGAGTCATGAGATAGAAAATAATGGAGATTGAAAAAAGCTGTTTTAATACAGTGGTAAGGACCTATCTTTCTAAGTAGGTCACATTTTAGCTGAGTCCGTAAGAATGAGAAGGAATGAATTGTTAAAAAAAAAAAATGTAAGTGGGGGGATTCTATACAGGGAAACCGAAAGCACAAATGAGTCAGAGAAAAAGTGATTTGTATCAGGAATTTCTTTTTTTTTAAAGAGAATATTATTTTATTTTTTAAATAGTTTATTGTCAAGTATATCAGGAATTTCTTAAATAAGGGATAAATGGCATGGACCGTTTCTGAATAGGTAAACGGGACTTTGTAAAGCAAGGAATTATATACACTAGGAAAACATTGCAGGATTTTAAGCAAGGAGTGATTGATGACACTCAATGGTGACATTGAATGATTTGATGACATTTTTAAAAAGACTTTCTCTGGCTCCTATGTGGATTGGGCAGATCGATGGGAGGTGACTCAAGTTAAGGGATGATGAGAGCACCGATAAGGACAATGGAGAGTATAAGAAATAAAAAGTTTCAGATATACTTTAGAGATAGGATTGAGTGAAGGAAGTAGGAAAGGAATAGGGGGAAAAATCAAGGTTACATTCTAGGCATCTGGTTTCAGCAACCAGGAGAATGGTAGTACCATGACTAAAATGGAGAAGACAGGTTTACAACTTATCATATTCTAGTGTGAAAGACAAGAAAGTAGATGTTAGGTAACGGTAAGTTCAGGAAGGAGAAATAAAGCAAGATAAGGGAATAAAGAGTAAAGAGGGCTGCTTATATAGATGAGTTACTCAGGGAGACCTAAGTGAAGTGAGATAGCATGCCATTTGGATGAAGAGCATTCTACTAAAAGCAACAAAGTACAAAGAGAGGGGGAAAAAACAGTACAAAAAAACAGGGGTGAACCAGGTCTGCAAAAGAAAAGGAGGGGAGCAGAGTCACTAAAGTGAAGTGAGCTGGGGAAACAGAGGAGAGAAGTGGCCAAGGCAGTTCACATATAGCCTGACAGCCCACAATAAGGGCTTTGGTTTTGGTTTTGACTTTTTTTTTTTTAATGTTTTTTATTTATTTCTAGGAGAGAGAGAGAGACAGCGTGAGCAGGGGAGGGTCAGAGAGAGAGGGAGTCACAGACTGAAACAGGCTCCAGGCTCTGAGCTGGCAGTCAGCACAGAGCCCGACGTGGGGCTCGAACCCACGAACCGCGAGATCATGACCTAAGCGAAAGTCGGACGCTTAACCGACTAAGCCACCCAGGCGCCCCTGGTTTTGACTTTTTTAAAGTTTATTTTTTTGGTGAAAGAGAGCACAAGCAGGGGAGTGGCAGAGAGAGGAGAGAGAGAATCCCAAGCAAGCTCCAAGCTATCAGAGTAGAGCCTGGATCCCACGAACTGCGAGACGACGACTTGAGCTGAATCCAAGAGTTGGATGCTCAACCGACTGAGCCATCCAGATGCCCCAGTATGGGTTTTGATTTTAAATATGATGCAGAACCACTGCAGGATTTTGAGAAGGGATATAACAAGACCTGTTTTTAAAGTCTCACTGTGGTTGACTGGAAGAAAACAAGCTGCAGGGAGACAGGGTAGAAGCCGACTAACCGGGTAAGAAGCTGGTACCAGCACTAGACCAAATGAGAGATGATGGCATCTTGGACTAGCTGTGGAAGTGGTAAAGTGTGGTGGTGATGAACTGAATGTAGGATATGTGAGAAAGAAGTCAAAGAGAATTCCTGTTTGTTTAGCCTGAGCAGCTGCAGGAATGGCCGTGTCATCTATTAGCATGGGAAGTTGGATGACAGGCAGGCTTGGAGGAGGAAATCAAGAAAATACTAGCTTGCTTGTTGATGAGAATGATCCACAGGCAGTGCTTCTCAAACACGGATGCACAAAAATCACCCACAAGTCTTATTGAAGTACAGATTCTGACCTAGTAAGTCTGAGACTGCATTTCTAAGAAGGTGACATTGGTGATGCTGACGTTGCTGGTCCACAGACCTCATTCTGAGTAGCAAAGTAAGTAACATATAATCACAGAACTAAAAAACAGAAGATAAAGGAAAAAAAGATAATTCAAAAATCAAAATTCCTTTTCAAGTGGGAATAAGTGAAATGCATGCAGAGGGTATGTCCCAGAACAGTGGTTCTCAAACTGTGGTCTGCAGGCCAGTAGCATCAGAACCACCTGGAAACCTGTTAGAAAAGCAAATTCTTGGCATCCCAGACATTTTGTGGGTGTGGGCCCCAGCAATCTGTTTTTACAAACCTTCCACATGCTACAGATGCACATATAAGTGGGAGGGCTAAAGGCCTAGAGGAAGAGGGCTCTTTCCATTGCCGTGGAGCAAACCTGGATACTCTGGTAGGCTGGATGCAAAAGTTACAATTCTTCACTTTCCCCAATACTTTTACCTTTTACAATGTAACTTTGTAGCTCCTCCCATCAACACAGGAGTCTCTGTTCCTTCCCCTTGAATCAGCTTGGTCTTAGAACTTTGCTATAGATCAAAAAAAAAAAAAAAGAGGCAATGATGGTGTCAATTCTGAGCCCAGGTCTTGAGACTGCACACTCCTGCTTTCTCTCTTGGACCCCCTGTGACAAGGTGAACAAGCTCAGGCTAATGTGCTGGAAGATGAGTGACTACATAGAGTCCAGTAATCCCAGATGAGGCCATCCGAGATCAGCACACCCACTAGTTGACTGAGGACACACAAACAAACCAGTCAAGACCAAATGGGCGGGCAGTGTCTGTAATAATACGCTAGAGAGGTATTATTTTGGTGAAGAGAGTTTGTGTTTGCCCAAACCTGGCACTGGCCAGCTCCCCAGCCACTATGGAAAGCCTATGGTAGAGACAAATGGGAGGTTTGTGGACGTAAAAGGTGTGAAATATACCCATTATACCAATGAGCAAGAACACTACAGAAACTTGTCCACTTGGGATTGTGTTTTTATGGTGACACCAACCTGCAGTTCCTAATTTCCTTCACTCAGAAGGATGCATGTAAGCACAACTGAGGAGCTGGGTTCATCCAGATGGAGGTCTTGCTGGGTAACAGGTTAGCAAACTATTGCAGAACAAATCTGGCATGTGACTTGTTTTTAAACAGACCACAAGCTAAAAATTGTTTTAATATCTTCAAAGTGTTACCAAAAAAAAAAAAAAAAAAAAAAAGACATACAACAGAGACTACATCTGGCCCTTTACAAGAAAAGGCTGCTCACCCCCTAAACTAAGTGAACAAAGACACAGAAGGACTAGAGAAAGGTTATTGCAAGGGAATGATTTAAACATAATCCAGAAAATCATAGCTGAGCATGAAGGTAAGTACAGAAAAGGAGGGTGATTTATAGAGTAGGGTCAAAAGATCATACTTTCCAGTTATGTATTCTAAAAATGGTATGAGGTATCTTTGGAGGTGGCCTAATTTGCTCCACACAGAACAGAATTCCCTGATTCAATGACCACATGAAGGTAACAGTGACCATGGTCCCAGGAACTTAAAAATAAGATTAGCCTCTTGGAAATTCTGTTTATGTGCTACTGCATGCAAGTCACTGCCTTTGATACAGGATATACAACGTAAGACTGAAGAGGCAAAAAAAGTATATGGGACTGTAAGACACATTTGTCTCTTTTGAAAGGCTTTCCTTCTTTTGCCAGCCTCCTTAACATTGTATTCTCTAGAATCTTCACTTATGTCTGCTTTTCTCCTTGTTCTGCTTTCTCTCAGAGAGTACATCAACTTCTACAACCTCTCTAGTACTCCCTAGGTTTCCAGTGACTCCTAAAACACCTTCCTAGTCCCCATCTCTCCTGCAAGATTCATACTGTTTCCAGGTACCCACTGGAAATCTTCATCTGTCCAGTGTCCTCCAGGATGTCCAACAGAATTTTCTGTCACGATGGGGAAATACAAATCAAAACCACACTGAGATACCACCTCACGCCAGTCAGAGTGGCTAAAATGAGCAAATCAGAGAACTCTAGATGCTGGCGAGGATGTGGAGAAACGGGCACCCTCCTACACTGTTGGTGGGAATGTAAACTGGTACAGCCCCTCTGGAAAACAGTGTGGAGGTTCCTCAGGAAACTAACAATAGAACTCCCCTAGGACCCAGCAATAGCACTGCTAGGAATTTACTCAAGGGATACAGAAATGCTGAGGCATAGGAGCA